GGTAAACAGCGTTTTCGTGCGCGGCTCTGGTTTGCCAGAAGCGGCTTAGTCATGCTGGCCACATGACCCAGAAGCTGTACGCTGGCTCCCTCAGCCAATAAAGTGATATGAGCACTGCAACCCCAGAGTCGGTCACGAGTGGACCTAATGGTCAGGGGTCCCTTTACCTTTAATGTTATCCTTGTATTTAAGGTCATTATGAGTCCTAATGTGGAACTTAACTTACCTTGTTCCGCCATCTATATTGTTCCTATCTTCTTTTTCCAGAAATATTATTTCAGGTTTAGTAGAGGCCATGTTTAGGGAGGGGTAGAAATGGTCCAGAGCTCTTGGATATATTCTAAATTAAGTTTTTGTTATAATAACGTTTGTTGTAATTACTTCTGCATAACTCTTAACAACCTAGTTTCCACATTTGACTAAGGAAAAAATTGCCCTGCTTTGTTCTACAGAAATCAGCAGGTAAAGTTTCCAAACAATTGAAAAATAAGCATAATTGCTCAGCCATGCCTGCATATCAAATTGCTGTTAAAGGCATGGGGGGAAGATTTGACAAAAACAAATTAGCAACCTTACAATAATAAGAAAGAGGAGCAGTGGCAGCTGGTCCAGTGAACAAGAAAGACAGATGCACCTCCCTTGCTTGTTTCCCTCTGCTTAATTACATTGCTTTGACATGTAGCTTAACCAGGGCTGACTTAATTGTGGCAGCTAGAGTGGTGACTGGGAGCAGCTGCCAGGACCATATAACACTGGTCCTAAAGTACGTTTCCAAGCACAATTCAAAGTGTTGGTGCTGACCTTAAAAGCTTTAAACAGCTTCGGCCCAGTATACTTGGAGGAGCGTCTCCACCCCCATCGCTCAGCCCAGACACTGAGGTTATCTTCCGAGGGTCTTCTGGCAGTTCCCACACTGCTAGGAGTGAGGCTACAGGGAACCAGGCAGAGAGCCTTCTTGGTAGTGGTGCCCTCCCTGTGGAGCGCCCTCCCATCAGATGTCAAGGAAATGAACAATTACCTGATTTTTAGAAGACATCTGAAGGCAGTCCTGTATCAGGAGTTTTTTAATATTTGATGTTTTAATATGTTTTATATTAAAGTAAGCCGGCCAGAGTGACTGGAGAAACCCAGCCAGGTGGGTGGGGTATAATTATAATTATAATTATTATTACTATTATTGTTATTTGCAGAAACAAGATACTAACAACAATACAGTAGCTCCTGAAAAGCTCACTATATGATAGTTCTCACTACATGAATAGGAGATCACTTGTAGCTCCCAGCCACTTAGTAACTCCAGAATTTCCAAGCCCCATCTCCCCAAATTCCAAGTACAGTAGCTACTAACAAGTAGGAACTTTAGGCTCATTGCTATGTCGGAGAGACAAAATATACCGTTTTTCTGGTTCATTCTTACACCTACTCAGATCTTAATCTGTAGGTGCTTACTTTTGGTATGCTACAGCATGGATTATATGTAAAAACATGACAAAACAGATACTAGTTATTACCTGCCTCTTATATCCTGCCTCTTTAAATAACCCTGGTCTGTTAATACAGGTCCTGTGCCTTTAATCAGCTTCATAGAAGGTAAAAACAAAACAAAAGGCACAAGCTTCCCTGGCATGGAGAAGCAGGAAAAAGACTGACTATAATTAATTTCTCTCCACTAGAATACTGTAAAAAATCTCAGGGAAAAAAGTAGCTAACAACCCTAAGGTATTTTAAATTACTTCCATCTTACCAACTATATTTCATGCACTTTAACCCTCTGCTCCTGAAGTATACCCTGTCAGAGCTTAAACCAGAAGTATCTGGAAAATGAAGATTTTTTTAAAAAAAATTATTTTCAATGAAAGAATCATTCCTATTTAGTATGGGGTGTTAAAGGCACAATAGTTAAGAAGCTTTTGCAGCTTTCATTCCTGTAATTCTTGGGGTGGATTTGACTACATGAAAAGAAATGTCCTTTTTCTTTTCGTTTATCATACATTTCCCCAGTGAAAGAGTGAATCAAGAGATAACTTTCAGTTGTCATCTCAGCAGCGGGTAAATAATGTTTACTTCACCTGTTTAGCATAATGCACAATTTCTATAAGCTTCACCAAACATTTCTCTCCATATAACAATGCAATATAATCTGTTGACATTTTTGTTCATGCTCTTTTGTCAAACAGAGTTTTAGGTTTAGGTCTTATGTTATTTGCTATGATATTCATGCTATTTCATATTCACTCTTCATCCTTTTTTAAAAGAAAACCATTCACTTGAAGGTTATTACTTTGAAGCATCTATCACTTCTTCTTGAAAGGAGAGCCAGGGAAACATGATATTGACATTAGCTTTGTGATAAATTTAAAACTAGGAAGAAAAATCACCATGCTGGCATTTCCTGAATGTGTCCCTCAATTTACCCCACTTGTCACCCCTGATCCCACTTTACCTTTTCTAGTAGGGAGTGTACTAATGCCACTCGAGTGGTTAAGGCTGAAATTATAACCCCACGGAGTTCGGAGTACACATTGACTGTGCATACAGAGTTCAAGGAGACCTGGTTCAAATCTTTCTTCAGCTACAAATTACCTGTGAACCACATCCCAACCACGTACACACAATAGGAGGGTTAATAATACAGCCTATAGCATGCAGATGATAATACAGACCTGTACAACCTTACTTGGAACTTGGAAGCAAGCCTCAATGAGCTTGGTGGGCTTATTTTCTGAGTTAACCAATCTAGAACCACGCTATAGCATTGTGTTGGCATTATGCATGCAATTTATTGCCAGGCGCACACATAACTCCTGTTGCTATTTCTTATTATCTATCAGATTTTTTACCCACCCTTCATTATGAAATCTGAAGGCAACTTACAACAACGGACGCTTACCCCTTCCTGGGTGGGATCTGTCATGGCCTCTCGCGCTCGGCCGCCATCCCTGGTCCGTCAGAGCAGAGCGCACATGTCCGGGCAGCCATTAGGGACCCCCCTCCCCCCGGCTGCCTAGACATCTGGCAAGTTCCTGCCTGCTGCAGCATCTTAAATGGGCCAGTCAGTGGCCTCCCTTGTGGGTGTGCCTTGCAGTCTGGGAGGGCATTGGCTGCATAAAAGTCTGCAGTGCTGTCCGGCCTCAGTACAGTCAGCGGAGAAGCAAACAAAGCCCACCCACCATCTTTATTTTCCAGGTCAATTTCATTTTGTTCTAAAATGTTTTCTGCCTTTCAGGTTGCTGCTTTAACAATGCTCCATTCCTTCATTCACAGTTTAACCTTATTTTGTTTCCCGTGTATCTCCTGACCTTGCTATGGTCGCACACGTTTGCCATATTTGGGCCCAGGAAGGAATTTTCCCTGTAGACAAATTGGCCGGTTTAGAGGTTTTGCCTTCCTCGCAGCAAATTGTCTCAACTTTGGCGGTTAAAGCATTGGGTAGAATCCTAGTCTTCAAGCGTAGGGTGAAGTGGTGCATTACCCAATATGATCCAGCGGTGTTTTCAGGGGTCTAAAGGGGTCTTGGTGGATGTCCCAGTCTTGAGGCCAAGCGTGCGGCAGATGGGCCTATAAGGCTTCTAGCGGCAGCCTTAGGATGGCCAACTCAGTAGACTGACATCTTGGAGAGGCCACAATCCTGGCACACACCTGCAGCAGTTCCAGTCCTCCAGCAGGAGGCTGGAATGGATACACCCAATGCCTGAGCCAAAATCCCACAAACATTCTGTAATCAATAAAGTTGTGGCCAATATTAATCCAGATCGTTGTCCACCTGAGTTATTAATCATTTATAGACACTAACAAGGGGTGGGTGGAACTGCAACTGGGCCCGCAATGTAAAAATACATTATTAAGATCAGTTTAAAAACATTACAACTTCCTTAATGTGTGGGTAACAATCATATTGAACATATATTGCTTTATTTGGTTCTCTTCGGCTATAGACACAGGATGGAACTACAGAAATATTAACATACTAGAAGTTTGTTTGGGAATCCAAAATGGTTTGGAAGTGGTTTATGCCAATGAAACACCATCTAATACTAAGGGTAGCCATGTGACCTACTTTCCCAAGGGTAGTCCTCTGTTTAAACCATTGTCAGAGGACAGCCCTCCATTTGAAGGCATCCTCTATTAGAAGTAATGTCCAATCCAAGTCTGGTTTGAAGATTAGAAAACCATAAGAAGGCAGAGCAGCGACCTTGAACTTGTCCATCAACAGTTAGCACCTGGACATCAGACACAGCAAGCATGCAAGCCACTTGACTATAGGCTTCCCCGCTATGGTGAGATGCATTATATTTCTATTTAAATTATAGTAATTATTTCCACATTTCCATCTCTACATATATATTTAGCACACCAATATTCTATGCAAAGCTCTGTTGCCTTTTGTCCTCTGCTTTGGTGCAGCATTCTCTTGTCTATGTGCAAATGGTCACCCTACCAATGGGTTAGAGAAGACAGGCAACAGTAAGCATTCTCAGCAGCGTTTTGCAGCCCTCATCATAGGTAGCCCTTTCCCCCATAAAAGCAACACTTCTTGCACCCCACAACTGTGATTAGAATTTTTCCTCCTGGTCATCTTTGTTTTATCACTACCACACCTTACTAACTCAAACTTCCTCTGCCCCACAAAAGAGTGAAAATGGCAGGTGTTATTGGAAAGAAACCTAGATGGTGTACAACAGATTTACATGACAGGGTAGAAACAACAGGACAAATCCATGCAGCCATGCCCATAGCATCAAGCAAACCTTAGACTCATTAATTTTATGGATACCCAGAAGATAGTGAAAGCCCTAAAATTTATCTAAAATACCTGTCCTACCCATGGAGTTTGAGGCTCCCCAACCCCACCCTGATGAAGTTCTCTTAACTCCCCACTAAGAACCCCATGACCTTTTCAAGTGTCTCACTGTTTACTGCCAGCAAAGGCAGCTGACAGAATCAGTGCCTTTGTGAGGTAGAGCACCAGTTGCTAGGATACCTAGAGCTGCAGGGAAACAAAGGGCGCAGTCCTGAGTTAATGCAAGGGCCCATCTTGGGTGGAAGCAGCGTGAAGCCCCCGATAAAGCCTGGTGTGACTGTCCCAAAACAGCAGCTGGGCGATCTTCACGAAGAGGCTGAGTCGTCTCAGCCTCCGGTAATACAGGACAGAACCACCCTGGGGGGCAGAATTCTTAACCCACTTTGCTAATCTCCGACATCAACAAGGGGCAGATCCACACCACGAAAGCACATCCACCACACATTTAAAGCCCGGTTACATCCCCCAAACAGTCCCGGGAGCTGTAGTTTCCTGGCCTGAAGCTACCGTTCCTAGCACCCTTGACAAACTACAGTTCCCAGGATTCTTTGGCGCAAGTCGTGTGCTTCAAATGTGTGCTGGATGTGTTTTAAATGTATGGTGTGGATCTGTGCAAGGTCTGTTAGATGCAAGCCCAATGCCAAAGACTGGGGACAAATTTGTACGGGAGACCAACATGAGATAGTGACAGTGCGTGGATGGAAAGAATAGAGATAGGGTAGCTGGAATGGGGTGGCAGAGTTACAAAAATATATTTGCAAGTGCTTGTTGCTTGCTAAGTAGTCTGTGAAACTGCTTCAGTAAGACGTTTGCTCTGTACAAATCCCCCAAGCCTTGCCTCATCAAGACCTCTTCACTTCCTTGAGTTCCCTTTTATTTTTTTGTATTTTGGTGGGGGTATGGCTGGGTGATCATTATATGCATTTATCCAAAGTTTCTACAACTGGAATAAATTATTCCTATCACCAGCAAAGGGAATATTTCATATCGCAAAGGGGTGGGCAGAGGGTGCCCAATTAGATGCAGTTGCAACCATAGGATTGCAGCCACTGCAACAGCAGTTGCACTGCAGCTGTGGACACATGCATCATAGTCTATGACTGCCAAGTGAGAAAGAAATACTTTTGACATTCCCAGAGGAACAAAGCTTTCTCACAAGAGACGCATTAGTCCTGCACTCATAGAGGAACATTCATTGTCCTTAGCAACGGACCATGCTTTCTGCAGGAGGCTGACCTGTCATGTTGACAACTATCATTGTATAGGATCTACTGTATTCAAAAATTCCTAAATTTTCCAATTCTGGAGAAACTGGGGTGTACATAAGGGTAGCTGTATACTGATGGTCAGTGAATGCTAGCAGGGAAGAGAATCCAAATTACACCTGCTGGTCTCAACCGCCTCACATTCACTGAAAGTCTGAATTTGTACATGCTGTACAGACACAGACTCTGTACAGACAGTCAGAGATCCTGCCTGCCTTTTGCAGATTTTCTGATTGTGCAAAAGATAGCTTGTCAGCCTTCACCTAGAAAGCACAACTACAATGGTGTATTGGACATGGTCAAGGGTGCATTCTTTTCGTGAGTGATGATAATGGATGGGCCCAACAGCTGTGGACAGCACCTTAGATGCACTGATAATGCACTCTAGAAATCTGCACAATGTTCAGGGACTTCATAACGGGCACACAGAAGTTCATTACCAGACAAATTCAGCAGGGGGAGGATTCCCCAACAGTAGAAATGTAAAATCCACAATTATATAGCTACTATTACACAAGGTTATAAAATACAAAGTGATTTAGTGAAATGAGTAAGAACTCAAATGTAATATTTTTCAGTAAAAGGTTATGTGCTTTTCTTGTGTGGTACTGCCTGCCTTCTGTTTTTCAACATTATTATAGCACCACACAAGTTTATAGGTTAAAGAAGAACTTTGACCAAAGGGTTGTTTCAATGGGTAATTGCAATGTGTTTTCCCACACTTAACAGAGAAGGTTGCTATTTTTTCTAACAGGCACAGGAATTATGCCACAAACAGACAAACAAGTATGCATCCCTCCGGAGCTTCCAGATTTGTTGAAGCAGTTTACAAAAGCTGCCATTCGGACACAGCCTCCAGATCTGATCCAATGGTCTTCTGAGTAAGTTTAATATTTTACTCTAAAAAACTGTATCCTTAAAACTGATACTATATTTAATAGTTTATAGGTTTACTTGTGGAATTCTATGTTTATGGCACTTTCCCGATACTTTTTGAGAACACACATTTTTCAGGCCAAGATGGGTAGCAATTATTTGGTATCAGGAATTAATGCAGCTTTCATTAAAGAATGACCAGTACCATTTTATGAAGAACTGCCCTATGCTTGCCACAGGGAACCCTGGGTGGAATAAGTTCAGGGAGCAAAATATCCCTCAAGACACCCTAGGCTACAGTAAATAACAAATCCAGAGAAAATACATCCCCTGAAACCTAAAGGAATATAGACCAACAGTCACACATGACTTTCATTTTCTCATGTGCAACATTTTCAAGCGGTTTTTGCAAACCAAAAACCAAAAACACCAAGATCAATGTGGGTGGGAGTATTGCAAAACTGTAGTATGTGAACAAAAACTGCTATCACTGTCATAGCCAATTAATGAAAACTCTACTACCCAGCATACATAAGCACTACCCGCCTCGGTGAACAAACAACCACATTTCAAATTAAGCATAAATAATAGCTCAGGCTGCAGTCCTAACTCCTGGCCAGCAGTGGTAGAGTTTGATGGAGAAGCACAGCCAGTGGCACATCACCAGCCTAATGCAAAGAGACTACAATCAGGCCTGTTGCTCTCATGCGATGCCCCCTCCTATTATCAGCTACCACCATGACAAGTGGGGGGAAGCTTTGACCCTCCAGATGTTGTCGAACTCCAGCCAGTCCCAGCCACAATAGTCAATGGTCAGAGATAATGAGAGTTCCAGGCCAACAATATTCAGAAGGTTAGGCTTCCCACCCTTATACAGTGGTACCTTGGTAGTCTCCTGCAGCCAATCAGTAGCTGTGCCTTGGTTTTCAAACGGTTTTGAGAGTCGAACAGACTCCCAGAACAGATTAAGTTTGAGAACCAAGGTACCACTGTATTACAATATCCCACCTTTCCTCGTTGTAGGAAGGCAGCTTACATAGTTTCCAGGCTGTCCCCTATCCATCACTAACCAGAACTGAGCTGCTAAATTTCAATAAGGATGCTGTGTCATGTGCCTTCAAGCTATGTCCTTTTGATATGCGTACTTTATGAGTTTTCACTGTTGAGCTTTAATATGTCATTCATAAACTTGAAAATAAATAGCCAAGTTCTAGTCACACTTTTTGTTAACATATTTTGCTAAAATGCAAACGCCTGCTGTTTTCTTTCTGTCTAGCTATTTTAATGCTATGGCCCGTGGAGAGAATCCTCCTGTAAGAGAACGACCAGATAGAGTCCCTTTATCAAACTGTGCAGAGCTTACACCAGAGCTCTTGAAGGTCTTACACCAGAGAGTAAGAAACATCTCCTTTCCATTTTGGGGCAAGTACATAAGAGGCTTGAGTGTTTGTACTCTACTATTTCATATTGGTTTTGGACACGGTTCCAGTTAATTGCCTCCAGTCTTATATCTGCTACTTTTTGTTCACATTGTAAGATGCATGCAGACAGAATATAACTATTACAAGATGTCAAGGTTATAAGACTTCTGCCAAAGTACGAAGACTATTTAAAAGATTATTGCTCTTCATAATTCCTTTACTTTTATTACATTCAAGCCTAGTTCCAAAACCATCCTGATACACATAGGGAAGCAATAATTTGTGCACACTCTAATTTTAAACACTGACTTCATTTGCACCTCATGATAAACAACAATTCATGTATTACTCTGAATGTGCCAATCTGAGCTGCTTTGCTCCTCTCTGGGAAGAAATAAACCATAGCTTAACATTACATGCAAACCAGAGATCATGGTTTGTTTTGTTCCAAGCAAACCACAGTCTGCAACCAAAGTTTGTACTTAGCATATTGATTGTGGTTTGTTTGGAGCACTACAAACCACAACCCTGGTTTGGACATAATGCTAAGCCAGGAATTGTGGTTTGTTTCCCTTGCATGCCAGGGAGAAGCAAAGCAACCCAGATGGTCATGTTTATAGTAAGTCATCAGTTATAGTTCACCACCCTGTGAGAACTCAAACAATGAATAAAGATGACAACTTACAAAGTAGTAACTTGCTTGTCACTCTCTGCATGCAACCACATAAGAAGCAAGCCATCTATACTAGGACTTGGGGATTTCTATCTGGCCCTCAGGTTTCTCCACAGGCCACTCCACCCACTTTTGCATTGGTCCTGCCCACTGCTAGCATGTGGCCCTCAGAAGATTGCCTAAAAGGGAATTGAAAAGGGTTCCCTACCCATTATCTATACCATCCTCTCAAATGTTCTCATCCCCTTGTTACACAGAAGAAAATGGAGAATCAGCATGATAAAGTTCTCTTCAGCAGCATGACCAGCTTCTTTCTGTAACTGTAAGCACAATGCAATACAATCAATTACTCCAATGTTTAGTTCATCAATACCCAGTTATATCCCGGCATAGAAGCCAACTCCAGGGGACCGTGGGTGCTTGGGCACCCACATTAATATAATTGTGGGGGCTGAGCACCCACAAAGTCAATGAGCAAAGCTGGAGACAGGCAGCCAGCTAGCCTCTGTGGTGCTGCCTCAGAGAGAGAAGCAGTTCAGCTCCACCCTGCACAGTCAGCAAGTGAGGCACCCTTTTCCAGTGTGGGGGTTCGGACATGGAGGCAGTCTCTCTGCTTCTGAGTCCATGCCCCTCCCTGCAGAAAAGGAGGAAGAGGAGCAGCCGATGCTGCAACATGGACGTGCAACATCACATACACATGCTTGCACGTGGTGCATGTGATGTCACACACACAACATGCAATGTCGTGTTCATTTTTGGAGGAGCCCACATTACAGCGATGGGCATCCACAATCCTGAGGGTGAGATGCCGCCCCTGTAGCCCAAGTATTATTTCTACAAATTAGCTGAAAAAATGCACAACTGGGCTTTATGATTAGAACATGCACATCTTTTCATATGTACTCCGAATCAATATCTGTAGCTTTTCATGCAAAATTTTAATACCACCAGCAGCATGGCAAGCTTTGAATTTCTTCACAAAAATACTAACCAACCATAACTGCTCAGTTATTGTACCAATATGGGTTAAATGGATCCCATTTTTGTGTTTTTAAGCCTTTCATTTTGAGCAGAGAACAGATGGAAGAGGATGTATTATTTAGGAAGACAGCGGGTATACACCACCACAGGATTTAGGATCCAGTTAGTGATGCACAGTGCTTCTGTGCTAGTACTGTTTCTCCATTTTCTCCCACAATGTATTTACACAAGATAAGTTCCTTACTCCAGAAACAACAACTTGAATTTTAGGTTGTTAGTATCTTCACATCAGCACAGCACTGACACCTGCACATTTGATGTTGGCTCCTATTCACTGGAATTTGATTTCAGTCCTAATAAACTATGGGTCATTTTCAACTAGGTTTTTGGGCCAGCAGGGTGCACCACAATGAGTCCCACTAGCACAATGGGACTTACTCCCCCTCTTCCCCCTGCACCCTCCTCGAATCCCTAGAACAGTGTGCAGGGTGGGGGATGAGATGGGAGATGAATTTGTTTGGCCAGCAGAAATGCTTGTGGTGATGGAAAGATCATTTTAGCACTACCTATAATATTTTATAGCCCTGGAGTACACTTTAGAGTGGCTGAGAAATATACAGCAGTTTATTAATTCAAGTGGCAGATTCGAAGTCATGAAGATTCTACAGGTGTCTGTGATTGACAACTTGCAGCTCAAATAATCCCTAGAAACTTTAGTACTTGTGTGCCCGTGAGAAATCAGGCTCCAAAAGCAGACGTGCATCCCAAATGCAGGTGCTCACTCAAATGTATAACCAAATGTGCACTCCTCTGAAAACTATGGTGTGCAGAGATATTGCTTCTCCATTCAAGCACACGCCTATCTTACCCCCAGTTACCAATCTGGGAAGCACCCTGCTTACCTTTGCTTTGTGCTTCCTAGGTACAAGTCTGGGCTTTCCAAGTCTGTGTTCAAGTGGTTACTTATTTATTATTTTCGGCCCTGATGCTTTCCCCAGAAAAACCCATATTTTAGCACTGGATTGGAACAAACGGCAAGCAGGTTTTCTGCAGATTGCTGTTTGTTCTGATTCAGTGGTAAAACAAGGGTTTTCCTGGGGAAAGCCCTGGGACAAAAAACACTCAGATATGAACCTGAAAAGCCCAGAAAGCACAAAGCAACTGGAAGTGTGGATAAACCCTGAAAGGACAAATGCCACCTGACAATTCAAAGGATCTAGAAAAGGGGAAGTGATCTGGGAGATTTGTACACATTTAAACACATTTCAGGCCTCCAGTTGAAAGACAACTGCTTGCTTCCCTTCAGCTGACTCTAGAGAGCTGAGAGCTATCACTAGTGCCCTGCTTTCTGCTCCAACATGAATAGACAGCATGTGGATAGCACACATGTGCATCCCTGTGTTCTTTCTTGTTCTGGGGTACAAAGGTCTTTTTCAAAATATATTGTTGTTTAGTCGTGTCCAACTCTTTGTGACCCCATGGACCAGAGCACGCCAGGTACCACTCCCGCAGTTTGGTCAAACTCATGTTGGTAGCTTCGAGAACAAAATATATACTCCTGCATATCTAGGGCATTCTCCCCTGTGTGTATGAATTCATTCCTATATTCTTCTTGTGCCCACAATGACACTCAAAAGCAGACACAGCATACCAACTTCATTAACTGGGTGGGTGATAATATCCCCAAAATAGACATCCCAGTGTTAGTGGCATCATTTATTCCCAAGTGGACAGCGGCAACATATTGTTCCAAAGCCCCTGCCTGCTTTTCTACATTGAATTCAGGCCCATTCAAGATCCACATGACCCTCATCTGCCTGGTCTTCTTCTTTGGGACACTTAATACATAAGGAAAACCTAGAATTGCTTCTACAGATTGCACAGCCTGCACAAGAAACAGAGAGCTATAGATGCAAAAGCCCAACATCATAATTAAACCTTTTCCAGAAATACTATTTCCCAAGGTTATGGTTGTATACTAAGGCTGTAATCCTAAATATGCTTACTCAGAAGTAGAGCTTACGTTTGAGTAAACATGTTCAGGACAGTGCTGCACAACTCGCAGTGAAGGGTTTAAAACAACACACTTTAGGGCAGTAGACCTGCTGTGGACACCTCTTAAAACTGTGCCATGTCATTAATTTTTCAACAGCTGCATATTGAATATTAAAACAGCAAAATGGTGGAATAATCTCAAAGCACACGGACAATCAGTGCAGTCTCACAAACTTATTTCTTAAATATTTGCTACTATGAGTTCAAGCACCATCTACTAAATTTGGAATGAACACAGCGAGTGAGACCCCTTGCAGCTTTTGAGAGAAAGGCTGGAATATAAATCTAATCAATCAATCAATCAATCAATCAATAAGATATGGAAGCATTAGCATATTATCCAGCAGTGGGGTCCTAAGATATAAGATATAGTTTTCCCCTGCCAAAAAAAGTGGACTGGGTAAGTCCATTTTCTCCTTCTTGCACAGTAGGAATCTGCAGTAAAAGCAGCAGCCCTGTACTTGTTTTTGCAAGTTTAGAATCAAACAATGTATATGTTATATACTATATATATGTATGTATATAGTATATGGTGTAGCCATATACTAGACTAGAAGCAGAAGGTGAATTAGTTCTTGGTGCAGCTGCACCACACCAGTACCTGCACCCTCAGCCTTTTCCAGCCTAGTAGATGTCAAGTCAGTATAACAGCAGTTTGAATGTCACCTGGTCCATTTTCAAAAGATCTACATTAGGTTTGTGTATGTCACCTCATAATTAAGGCTCAGTCTCGGTACCAGACATTTATGTATTAATATATTGATAAACTGGCATTTACAAATAAGCAAGGATACCCTGCCCCATCACAGAACTGAGAAGATGCAGACATGATTACATCCTACTTATTTTTTGGGAGGAGTACAACAAGATATCATGGTGCAAAGCAGTACCACAGTTAATACAAACTCAGCACAACATTTTCTAAAACAAGTTAGTACATGCCTGTGGCATTTCTGTCTCATTCTTTGCCTGGACACTTAAAGTAAAAAATATCAAAGCAGCAACATACTCCTTCTTACAAAGAACAGAGCAAGGATTCAACCAACATCCCAATCTGCTTAGCTGTATCTTAGTTCTGTGATCTCGTACATTTTTATTTATTTTTACTGATTCTACAAAGCAAACAGAATGCTTACCATCTCTGAAATTTGTACGATTAGGAAGGAATTCCTGGCACTAAAGCAGGTGACGAGATCTAGAGAAAAACAAAAAAACTGCAGTCATTTATTCACTTATGATAGATATTGCCAATATTTCTTTCCAGGTGGGCGGGAGGCTGATAATCCACGTAGATGAGCTAGCCCAGATGTGGAAGGTGCTCAATCTTCCTACAGACCTATTTGACAGTATTATGAACGTTGGACACTTTACTGAAGAAATTGAATGGCTCAAGTTTTTAGCCCTGGCCTGCAGCTCTCTTGGAGTTGTAAGTTCCTTTTCTTTTGAATTTCCAATATGTTTAGATTCCTTAAATAATTAGTATTTACTTTTAGTGGGTCTATGTCATGTGGATTATTATTAAGAGCTCGTAGTTTCACTCAGGAAGCAGTGAATGGCAGAACCAGCTGCCACCTAATGGGCCTTACTGTAGCAGCCTCCCTTCCTGTATTTTTTGCAGCACCAGAACAGAAGGAAAGCGAGAACAACAACCACAACTTATTGGACTGTTGTATGAAGGTATTGCCTGGGTTAATGGCTGCCCATTTGTTCCTAATATGGCCTTCCAGGTCTGCTTGTACACACAGAGCAGAAAGAGCTGGGAAAGAGGCTATAGATTTCAGAAGTGGTAGTAGATGGGTACCATTTCAGGTGTAGGGGGAATCACTTTTTAACAAATATTCTGCTGCGAGTTTTTAAAAATACAAGTTGAAAAGTAGCACAGCAAGGAGCAGGCCACTAAAGTACTTTGGCCCTCAGAGTCCTAATTTCTTCTTACTGTGAATGGCAATTCTAAACATCAATTTGAATTGATACAATCCACTGTACAATCCCCCCAAGCTTGGATTCTACCACTGTATTCTGCTGTGTGTGAAGAATTAAAAGGGCAGAGGACATTTTCACATTGCAGTAAATCTGGTGCTGTTGGGAGGGTCGCCATTAGTGGCCGAGTTGTCCTATTCCCTACACTGTACCTAATTTCTGTTCTCTTCCTACCATGAGGAAACCCACATCATATAAGCTTTGTAAAAGCCGTTCTGCCTTAAGATAGTTCACCAGCTAACAGCTACAGTCTCCACCCTTTCTCCCCCTCTTTTCCATGGCAACTGCACAGTTTCAATACTGGATTTTGTTACACCATATTTGTCTGGTGGGCTCTCTTTTGGATGAATCACAAGTAATACCTATCTCCCTTAATAGCCTAGATTTAAAAAACAACAACAACCCAATCTTTACTTTTGCAATCTGAATTATTAAATTGGACCAACATAAGATAATATTGTGTGGATATTTAGGCCTCTCCCTCATTCATGAACTTAAACATATTCCACAGATATTGCTTTTACATGTAACAAAGGGAGGTTGCAAATTTACAAGGAATAAAGCTGGATTGATATAACGTCCAGCTAATCATGGGTTGCCACATTCTCACAACATGGTAGAAGCCCTAAGAATCCCACTGTTGCAGCTGTCCTGATGGCAGCTATTATCTGCGGAAGTGCATCTAATGCTATAAAGACGCTTAGCAGTGTGGGTTAACATTACTCTTCATATGACCACTGATTGTATTAATATAGGCTGATTAATGTATCTCTCAGAATGAACTGTTGTCATCTTGCATCCAAAACTTTATCATAATCCATTGTATTTTCTGTTTCTCTCTCCTGCCCTTTAGCCTGTTTTACTAGGGGCACCATTTATGAATCTGGCTTTTTGTGTTTGTGAATTTGTCTGTTCCTGCAGTCTTCTTCCTCACCTGAAGTCATAATCTTATATTTATAACATTACAGTTAGCAGCTGTGGAGATAATTCTGATTTCAGAGAAGATTTTGACTTCAGGTGAGCAAAAGATAAAAAGCAGACAGAGCTAATAGATATTGTTTTTTTTTGTTCATCAGGAAACAGCCATTTACCAAAACAGAGCAACTCAAACTTTCCTAGAGAATATCTCCTTATGTACAATGTTGTGCATTAATGTATTACTGTTATTGTTACTATAAAGTGCCAATATATATAATTTTTAAGAGAGTATATAAAGCCGAATGTATATAGTAATTGGCTGCACTTTAACGGATATTAAAGTGTGCTTAATCTCACTGAAATCATTAGTATCACAGTAACTCTGCCCTGTGGCCACTGTTCTTTGATACATCTTAGCACATTAAAACTAAACTGCATTTTTGGTGTGGCTTTCCATCATAATAGAGATGTTTATCAAGAAACACCTACCTTAAAAATTTAGGCTTCACATGATTTGTACAAGGCCCTCCACTCCCTTATTATCCTCCTCACAATAACCCTGTGAGGTAAGACTAGGCCAGGAAATCATGATGGCCCAAACTCACCTCAGACCGTCATAATTGTGTGGAGATTTGAACCTGGCATTCCCCTATTCTAATCACTACACCATAAACCACCACAGCATAGCGGTTTTATCCAGAACTATACTTACCACCTAACTATAATTCTCAGGACTTCTGGCAAAGAAGCTGTGACTGTTTAGTTGAGTCACATAAATAAACAGTTGCTCACTCTTCTGTTTATGGCAGGGGTAGCCAATGGGGGCCCCCCCAGACATTTGGCCAGCAACTCTCACCATCCCTGAACATTTCCCAACTGAGCAGGGCTGAAGGGAGTTGGGTCACAGCATCTGGAGGACACCATAATAGCTATCCCTGCTTTATGGCTTTATAGCCAGACACTGAGCTATTTCTTTTTTAGTATTTCTAGAAATGCATAATAACTAGTTGCTTTATTATGAATGGCAAACTTAGATACTAATTCTTCTTATCTTTTTAATAGACTATTGCAAAAACTCTGAAGATAATATGTGAGGTTTTATCCAATGAGAATGACAGTGGACCCGCCCGTATCCCCTTCAGCACTTTCCAGTTTCTCTACACTTACATCGCTGAAGTAGATGGGGAGATTTCAGCATCTCATGTTAGTCGAATGCTGAATTATATTGAGCAGGAGATGTAAGTAACCACAGTATATCTAATACATACAGCTAACGTAAATGTCAAGGCGTGTGGCTATTTGCATCATAGGTTTTACCCTCTTGTATGGTATTGAAGTGCAGTAGTTTTTACCGCTGTAGGGACAGATATTGCTAAGTTCTAGGGCCAGTTTGTTCACAGGACAGGACATCCTCACATTAAACAGAATAATCAGGACTGGAAAAAATCCCAGTTTGATATACCATGTCTCTAAAAACTTGGGATTGTGTCCAGTTGGAAGCCCCATCAAGGAATTCAAGCTGGTATACATGTTTCTCCCCCTCCCCATTTTATCCTCACAACTCTGTGAGGCAATGACTGACCCAAGGTCACCCAATGAGCTTCATGACTTGAGTGGGGATTTGAATCCTGGTCCACCATGCCCCAGTCCACCACTCTAACCACTATACCTGTTGACTCTGATACTTAAGAATTTAAAATATTTTTCCATGCCCAGTGTGGTTGCGGGGTCTCTTTAGAAATCTTTTGATCATAATCCCTGATTTATTATAGTTAACACTACTGTCATGGCCACTGATAGCAAGAATTGCTTATTTATGCATACATTTTAAATCCCAACTTTCCTATCCCCTTTGGCTCTATCTTGGGAAAAGTGTTTTGCGTCATAGCATCCTGTACAGTGGTGCCTCGCAAGACGAAATTAATCCGTTCCACGAGAGTCTTCGTCTAGCGGTTTTTTTGTCTTGCGAAGCAAGCCCATTGACGGATTAGCGCTATTAGCGCTATTAGCGGTTTAGCGGCTATTAAAGGCTTAAAGGCTTGGGGATTAGCTGCTAAAAGGCTATTAAAGGCTATTAAAGGCTTAGCAGATTAGATAAAGGGGGGGAAAAGCGAAAAAAAAAAATCTCAAGACTCGCAAGGTATTTTCGTCTTGCGAAGCAAGCCCATAGGGGAATTCGTCCTGCGAAGCAACTTCAAAACGGAAAACCCTTTCGTCTAGCGGTTTTTCCGTCTTGCGAGGCATTCGTCTTGCGGGGCACCACTGTATTTCAAACTATATATGGTTGCTGCCACCTTGTGGCATTCCTTGATTCACAGACTAATTTGGACTACGCTGCCTGCACTCAGTGCAGTTCCTTTAAGTGTGCTTCACTGAGGTGGAAGGAAGACTGGCATCTGGAAAGACAGAAGATGGTGCTACAATTATTTTTTGTGAGATAAAAGTTTAGAATGTTTCATAAAGATCAAGTATTGCTGGGTGAGCAAACCTCTAATTTTATTTTTTATTTTTATGTTCCCTACACAGCATTGGGCCAGACGGCTTGATCAAGGTGAATGATTTTACCCAGAATCCGCGGGTCAGGTTGGAGTAGTTCTCAGTACATCATACACTGCTATGTTGATAGGAAGAAGACGAAACAGAGGACAGAATAAGAATTACAAATAGGCCAACCTCTCAGTCTCTTTTTTCCCTTTGTGTCCGTTAATAAACAGTTTGGCAAAGCAACAAATAAGAAAGATGGAAACATAGATTGAGAAGGTGCCACTGGAGTAGAATACAGTCTACTGTTAAACTTTCTGGTGCTATGATATACACACGTCCACCCAAATAAATATCATAGACTACCAAATAGTATAAACCTATTATATTAAATATATATTGAGGTCCACCCTTCTCCCCTCTTTTTGCATTTCAAAATATCTGGCACTGCCATGTGAAACTGGAGGGAATTTCAGATGCCTTCATCTGCAGGGGAAAACTTCAGAATTGTTTCCATTATTTCCCTGGGAACAAAAAGGAGGCCTTCAAGTTTGCTTTCCATGAGTGATTGTTGTGCATTTATTCAGGTATAGTGCACCCCTCATATTTCAAAAGAACTAGTCTGGGGTTCACTTTCTGTGGTATGATTGATAAATTATAATTGATAAATGATACAAGCAGACAAAAGTGTGAGTGTTGAAAAAGTGAAATAAGGTACCCAAGTCTCAATACAGCTAACAGAGTGACTCTAAAAACACATTGTAATATTTGACTCTCTGGCTCTATAAGCAGATTTATAAAAGATGTTTAACAGTGGTGTTTGTGAATGTTCGGAGTGATAAATAACAACTTTTTGGATCAGTGAAGACCTGGAAATTTAGAGCTGCTTCCTTGAATACAAAACAAATATGCACCATGTGGGGGAGTTTAAAAGTGCATGTACATTCATTCATTCCTTCATTTAGCATCTGTTACTTTAAAACATATATCATACAAAAGAGAGACACAATCCATTGTTTGCTACACCCTCTAGTAATTGCAGTGGAAATCTGTTTGCCTTTCTAATTACTGCTGGTGTGGGATATGGAAGATCCAGACACTTTATTTTCTTCAATTTCTTTTTTTAAAAAAACCAGAAAATGGGGAACGTGTGGTCCTCCAAATGTTGTTGGATTCCAGTTTCATCATCCCCAGCAGCCAGTGGAGCTAGAGGTCGGAGACTGTGGATGTTGCAGTCCAGCAACATATGGAGGGCCAGAGGGTTCCTACCTATGTAAAATGTAGACTTAATAAATGCTTCCTTAAGCATTTTTATACATATTTACACCTTTTAAACACTTTTATAATGAGAGTATCATACCTGAACTTTACATGATTTTTTTTTGGGGGGGGGGGACTGATGAATTCCAACTCCCAGGCCTTCAACCCACTGTTACTGTGAGTTCAGCAAGCTACATCTCTGTAGCCCATAAAATCAGTAGGTGGTCAACACTAATTGGAAGCCTCTTTCAAACTAGAAATTTCCCTAGAAAGTACTCATAGCTTGCCCAATAAGGATACCAAATTTTAAAGAATGCTTAAAAGACTCTTACAAAAAAGCACATGGCAGAAGTTTATTCCACCCAGGACAGGGGTGGACTTTGGTCTTTCAAATTTCAGTGGTGCAAGGCCAAAATTTGTCACCCCTCTACCTCTTGCCTTCCGTTCTGCATGGGCACTACATCATACAGTAGTTGTGACATCCTGTGGCACCCAGTGCTGCAGAAGTGCCCTAAATCCATATTTGCCCAGGAACCTGAGCACACAGATTGATAAGGCACCTAACTGGTAGCTGCAAGAAGGGCTTAGGTTGAATGTCTGGTAGCAAGATTGCGCTTTTAAAGCCCACTAAATGTAAACAACTGGAAGCAGTTTTACTTTTAAGGAAACAAAAGACAACGACACCTACTGCAAAATAAGTTGCGGGAGATGGAAGGGAGCAGCCAAGGATGGTTTTAGACAACAGGTCAAAAATGCTTGATATCAGAGCAGGTACTAGACCAGATGATCGCAACAGTGAACAGTCTCTCAATGTGGACAATGTGTGGTAGGGTTTTAGCCCTGATTGCATTTGGGTGCCAGAAAGACAGGAATCCCGTTGCTCTGGAGTAGGGGTGGCAACCCTGTGGGCTCCATCAGGCCCACAAAGCTGCTTCCTGTGACTGACCAGCCAGTCCTCTGCCAAAAGGTGCTGTTTATTTTCCTCTTGACCTCCACTAATCCTACAAAGGCATTTCTTCTCCCGCTTGGGCAACGCTGTTCCTAGGTGTTAACTCTAAGGGAATAGTCCTTCCTCTTTGCTAAGCACTAATGCCACCTTAGAGGAACAAGAGACAACTTTGCAAGGTAATTGGAAAGCTTTCTTCCCCATTGCAGTGATGGGCTGGGGGCAGGGGGAGGTTCCGATAACTGAAGAGGAAGGACTATTCTTCCTCCCCATTGCCATGCTGGCCTAGGAGGAATGGAACGTCTCCCAGCCCAATGTAGTGATGAGAAGTCGACAGAAGAGTGAATGTGTATTGGGGAAACTGTATGAACATGTGTATGTGTGTACATCTGCCTGCCTAACTACTTATCTGAATGTGTGTTGGTGTTGTATGTGTGTTGAATGTTTGTGTGAATGTCTGTTGGTCATACCTACTTTGGCCATGCCCACTACTGCATCAGCCACTCGAGGGTTAACCAACTTTTTTTTAATGTCTCCTGGGCCAAAAACTCCTACTCAGAAGCATTCAGCACAGAGGACAGGACACTTCCATTTACACTTCAGTGAAGTGTGGATCCACGGTATGGGCCTTCAAGCACCACTATACTTAGCTGTTAGCCCTGGCTCACTTGACAACTACAAACAGGCAAAATGGACATACATAGGAGCTGTAAAAGGCTCTCGGCACTCAAGATCTGAGCACTAGCTACCCTTTGGTGTAGAAGGTGCCAAATGACTAGGGTAAAACCAGCCCTGCACAGCAGATGCTGCCACCACTCCTGTTAGTCCACTCAACCTGAGCCAGGAGAATCCTGGGCTGTACACTGAACAGTGTGCAAGAGCTAGATAGGAAAGCAAGAGATAAACAACCAGAACACTGCCTCTTGAGCAACAAGCCCACATTACTCAGTAGCAGTTTGACCAAGCAGGATTCAGAGCTAAAGTTTAACCCCAAGAAAACACACAAGGTTCATAGAGGTCGAGTAATTAATAATTATAAAAATAGCAGCATACAAATATGAACTCATTACCAGTTAAAATAAGAAAGGAAACTAATGTGTGAGAATACATTTGGAAATCAGAGTACAAGACAAAAAGCAATAAAACTAGTTTGCCTGTCTCTAATACTTAACCGCTAGAATGCTAACCCCACTGAAATCCAGCAAGCAGCACCTCAATTCTGGAACTCTCTTTGGGAAAATATCACTGTCTCCCTCCCTCCCTCCCTTTAGTCAACAACTGAAAATGAATCATTTTCACCCAGGCATTTCAGGGGAAATTGTAGGCATGATATGGCTTTGCTTTGTGTTGGCACCAGCTGTTTAAATGTGGTAACAGAAATTGGAGACCAAGCACCACAAAGGTTTCAGATGGGTGGTGGTAAGAATCTACCTCTTAATTGTATGTTGTGGGTGGAGAGTATGAGTGGGTAGGAAGCATGAGAATGAGGTTTATGATTTGGGGGGGTGCCCGAAAGTTGGGGTGCAGAGCAGAGGCTCCCCCTGCGAAGGTGGAGAAGGATGTTGAGGAGCTGGACACAGTGTGTTTCTCAGCCTGAGGCGAACAATAACATCAGTATCTCTCTGTACCTCTTTCAGGCTCGGTAGGGGGCCAGGGAGTGGGTTGCCAGTCTGCTCCCACTGACACCAAGCAACAGCCACTTATTGAAGTGTCTTCCTGGACCCAGGCTGATCCTAAACTGGACTTGTGTGTCTGGAAGCTTGTTTTTGCCTCTTTCCCCTCTGCTCTGAGGAGTACAAGGTGGCACACCAAAAGGATAAAGAATAATTCCTTAATAATTTGTCTGATACCTTTAAGTTTACTTTCATATGCTGGCACTATTATTATTATTATTAATAATAATTTGTATACCACCCTTCATCCAAAGATCACAGGGCAGTTGACAACAAAATGATAAGACAAAATACGTACATAAACAAGAACAAATCAATAACTCCCGCAAAAGTAGGTTGATGTTAAGTGGATTTTTAAAATTAACAATATGTATATGCTGCCCAATAACAAAGCTGACTGCGTTGAATTGTTGGAAAAATGACCAGTACCTGTAGGATGTCACAGGAAGGAGCACTGAATGTTGAAACAAATGCTGTGGCGACACAGAAGGTGATTTATTTTATAAAAGAACCACAAGGCTGATTGGGTATCTCCTTAGGCCAGTGGTTTTCAACCAGTGTGCCGTGGCACCTTGGGGTGCCTTGAATGATGGTCGAGGTACCACGGGCAACACTGGCCTCTGCCCCTTTTTCTTTCCCTCCCTTCTCTGATGCCTTCTTGCATCTCTGCCTCCCCAAGGCTTGCACAGCTGTTTGTTGCAGCAGCCTTGGCTACAAGTTCCCCAGGCAAAGGATGCCTCTGGGGCTGGCCAGTGGGTGCTTCCCAGGCCCCTGTGGGCAGGGGACGCAGCTCGGGGACCAGGGGTGGCGGCAGAAGCAGCAGCTGCCCAGAGGACTCCCAAGAAGAGGGGGAAAGAAAGGAGGCTCTCCACCCACAAGGGAGGGTGTTCGAAAAAGGGTGAGAGGATGCCAGCTCTGCAGGCAAAGGGTGACCCATAACTGGGCTCCTGAGCCCCACAGGAGTGCCGCAAAAAGAATGCAGCTGGTCAAGGGAGCCGTGGACTCAAAAAGGTTGGAAACCTCTGCCTTAGGCTAACACACTGACCGCAGGATGAGCTTCCGGAGCCAAAAGCAAGGGCCCATTCCCTTCTCCCAGCAGCAAAAAAAATCTGTCCTGTTTCAGTGGGGATTTCCCACTCATTTCAATGGCTCCCAGAGGAACGCGTGCAGGACGCCTAGTAAACACCGGTCCCACCCTCCGAGGGTTGACTAAGGGACAAACGGGCTAAGCCACGCCTCTCTCACGCTCCGCTTCCTCTATTGGTCCGACTTAGGAACGGCTCTAACCAATAGAATAAACTAGACCGCCGGGCTCTTATTTATTTCCCTCCTACCTCTTCCTTTCCCGCTCGGTCTGCCGCCGCCGCCGCCGCCTCAATGAGAGCAAATAGGGGGCGGGGCTTGAGACAGGCTCTGCCCCGTGAGTAACCGTTGGGCCCGTCAGTCAGCTTGGAGGAAGAGGCAGCCTCTTGGCTGGAAGGAGATGGCGAGGCCGGGCTCCGTAAGGCACAAGGTAAATGCGGGCGGGAGAGGGGGAGCAAGCGCGCCCTCCCTTGCCATTAAGTTCGGGCTCTTCGCCCTGAGTTCCCCCTCGTAACCTCAGGGCTCTGCATTCCCCATAACCATGCATGATGCCTGTATGCTTACCGACTCAAGGCTGCAGTTCATGCACCTGATGATGGAAGTGGAGTGGGATCCGCGAACGCCTCTGTTATTGATGCATCTTATTTAGTTCTTAAGGTGCCGCGGGACTCTGCTGCTTTTACCAACAGAGTAGGTAACAAGCCCACCCTTCTAGAATTCGTAAAAGCAGAAGATCTTTAAGCTGATCCCTATTGCTCTTGCTCCTGGAGCACACACGCAAAATGTGATGGTGTGAAGTGTGATTGTTTCTGAAATACCAGATTGTACAAAAATAGTATGAGTTTAACTACTTAAGCATAACCTCTCCTGGTTTGCAGTGGTTTTATTTATTATTAATAGTTATAGAACACATTACCAAATGGTTGAAGTTATAAAGGCTCTTAGTTGGATACCAGTGTTTTCCTTGTTGAAATGGCCAGTTAATAGTCATGCTTGTGCAGGGAATCTGAATTTCAAAATGTGAAGTATTCTGTTCTTGATATTTGCAAATATGGTTTAGTTGATTGATTGAAATCAATTCAGAGAGGCCTACATGTTCCCAATGGTTATTTATTCTTTAAAAAGACTCTTAATTGGCTTACATACAAAGTATAGGTCAGACATGCTTCACTACTGCAGATCGCTTTTCACTCTTGAAGTAGAATGAAATTTTTCTGTTATTAGTTCTATGCTCTTATAAGCATTTTTAAAATAAAACATCACTTGCATGCTGACTTTCCTGTAGAAGATATAGTCTCTCTCTCTCTCTCTCTCTCTCTCTCTCGTAAGCCTGAGGTGTGTTTTCTGTTACACTTATTCTGGAAAACTAATACCAAATATTGAGTGCTTGTTTGTGCAACCAACAGGTACTGTCATCAGGAAGGTTGACAGGATCAGCTAAATTAGCAAGCGGAGGAAAACAGTAAGGATATCCTCATATCTTCTATATTTGTGCAGGTTTGAGCAGTAGCATATTGTTAAAACTGCCCTAAATGTTGTGCTTTTTGCTGGCTAGTTGGGACCAATGCTTGTCTTTAGAAATGAAGATTATAGAATCATCTTAAATTCCTTATCAAATATTACATATAATGCCTTCAAACCTAAGGTGCTTTTTTGATGTAGTTGGTTTTAGAGTTTCTGATACTGTGTTTTAGCATTTCTCCTTTCCTAGATATCAAAGTCCAAGTGTTGTTTTGCATGTATGCTAGAGAGAGAGTTAACACAGCATTTCTGTGTTTCAGGAATGCTTTAAGAAAAGTGGCACGTCCTGATGCTGATTTTGGCTACTCCCTGTATTCCACAGATTCTGAAGATCAGGTAATGACAGACTATAATGCAAAATCTGAGCAAAGTTTTTTATTTGTGCATATTAAATATTGCTACGAAAAGCCACTAGCCCTGGTCACTGTCATCATGTTTCACATTTTCAATTAATCGGGAGAACAGGGCCTTGTCAGAAAGTTATATGGAAGAGGGTAATCTTTTAAGCAGAAGTAAGGAGAAGGGGATGACAGAGGACGAGATGGTTAGATAGTGTCTTCGAAGCTACCAGCATGAGTTTGACCAAACTGCAGGAGGCAGTGGAAGACAGAAGTGCCTGGCGTGCTCTGGTCCATGGGGTCACGAAGAGTCGGACACGACTAAACGACTAAACAACAACAACAAAAGGAACCTTTTCTGGATGGATGGCTTCCCATCTGTTAATCACTTAATGCCATTGTGATGTCAGCTCATGTTGCGCTTTGAAGCCCCGATTGTTGGGATTTCAAAGTGCAGTACTATTTAAAATCCATTTTCCTGTTTGCAAAGGACTTTCAGACAGCTCATGTTTGAGTCTCTGGTTTTGTAGGCTCAAACTAGGCCTGGGAGATATATCAATATATTGCCCAGAACCAGTATGAAGAGCAGACCGTGATGTCGGTTTCATTAAGCGGTATATCACTGGTGAAACAGCTACCGCTCCTGAATCCCTGTGCTAGCAGCGTGCGCTGGGGGGAGTCAAATGTTTCTTCTTCCAGTGGGCACTGCTAGCAGAGGGACTCGGGAGCAGCGGCGGTTTCACCAGCAATACGTAGTGAAACCACCATCCCACTGCCTTCATATGACGTGGAGGGAGAAACAAGCTGTACCGGCGAGGTGCCGATACAGCCTGTTCCTCCCTCTGAATCTTTAAACTGCTCACCTGAGGAGCGTGCAGGTGCCCTTGCCTCAGTCTAGCAATTAAAGGAGCCCCAATACTCCTGCTGCTCACGTGTGAGCAGCAAAAGCACCGGGGATGACTCAGCTGGGGAAGGGAAATGTTCCCTCCCCCCAGCTAAGCTGCACGAACAAGCTGCATTGTCCCAGCCTGCAACCCTGGGTGAAATCGCCTCAGCTCTCAAGGTAAGAGCTGGGGCAGTTTCACCTGGTGTCTCGCAGGCAGAGGCCAACGCATCTTGTTTTTCAACATCGCGGTAGATCGCCAAACTGTGGTGTTTGGCTGGCAATACACCACGATGTTGAAAACCTAATATTGCCCAGCCCTAGCTTAAACAGAAATGCTTGATCACTTGACTTGAGCAGTATTTAACTCATTTGCTACATAGGCCTGTGCCTTGCTGGGAACAATCACATGCAGCCACTGCAGGATTTAACCCAGTTATGGCAGCTGACAGGCAGGTAGACATGGTTGGAGGGAAAGGACCTCATAGGTCAAGATTAGCCTGCAGGCCCAAGGTTGCCCCCCCCCCGCCGTTAAGATATGCAGGTCCCAAGCCACCAAGGGTTGTAATGAGTATCTTGAATTGAGCCTGGAAACAAACCAGCAGCCAGGGCAAATCATACAATGCCTAGCACTCACAGGCATCCTAGCAGCAGCATTCAGTACTGGTTGTAGTTTCCAACATACACTTTGGAACATTTACTAGCTCACAGAATAAGGAAGGTTTAATAATGAGCCATTTTCTGTGAATGAAAACTGTTTGCATTCTCTTTCATATCCTTTCTACAGGTTGCAACCATTCATCATGGCCTGGATCGCTGTGCGTCTTTACTAAAGGACATTTTGCAAAATGAATCTGAAGGTAGTATTCTTTTTAACTACTTGAATTCAGTTTTCATTCTGCGAGTAACTTACTTTGTTGCTAAATGATATTATTTCAAATGGTGCTAGGGATGGAGAACCTCTGTCAAAAGGCAGGAAAAGCAGCTTTTGTCAGAACAGCTTCAAGACCTTTGCTCAGTAAAGTCAATGGTTCAAAGAAGAGGGGTCAAAAGAAAAAAAATATTTCTGCAAATGTGCGTAAAGGAATGGGTAAGATGTTTTTCTTCAACTTTATTTTTAAGTTAATTCTTTATTTTATTATATCCTTTCAGTGTTTCATTACAGAATATCTATAAGAAAATGATAAAACACAATTTATACATTACTCTTTAAAAGATCTGATTTTTTAAAAATAGCCTTACTCTACCATAAATGTTCAGTAGATTTCACCTGCACTAGTAGATCAAATTTTGCTTCATGGAGGTCTAAGTTTTTTGTTGTATTCATCAATAGGACTAAATTACGTGTTTCACTGTACAGTCTTTGGTCAAGTACAGGCCACCATGAGTCTGTGAACAATGCAGAACTATATTCTTGAACTATTAGAAAATAGTTTAGACTTTGAGGAATGCTTAAGGATATAACTTACATATTTTTACTTTTATCTTACATAATGTAACATAAAACATAATCAAGACTACAAGCGTATGGCAATGCTTCAAGAGCAGAATTCCAAAACTCAAAAGGTTACTGCTACATCTTTGTTGTTTTAGAATATAACTTAACAGAGTTAAAGGTTATTCTTTTTGCTTTTTGTAGTGCCTATGCCAAATAAGCCAGCATCAGTGAATGCTGCAGTTGTTGAAAAAGACACAACTCCTGTAAGTACAGGGCAACCTTCTCCTCTTCAACCAATTCATATACCTTGCACTCAGCACTCTCCTGTGATGCATCAGAAACTGTGTGAGCATGTGCAAACCCAGATGTCTCTGCTAAACACCCAACTGCTGCAAAAATCCAGTGGCATTCCTGAAGTTCCATGTTCCATCGTTCCTGAACACAGTGAGTGGGAATGGCATGATTTGATTTGACAGACATTGTGGGATGGATATATTTAATCTTAACATTGACAATTTTGTTCTTTATACCTCAATCGATAGCAACATATCAGCCTGTAACAGCATTCAACTCCCGTTTGCCTACCTCTACACCAGCTCTGTCCCCACAATATGCAGCTAATCCTTCGTTTGTTCAGCCTGTAAGTACTCTCTTAAATTTCGGATTGCCACGTTTTGTTCTGTGCATACTATTGATAAATTTCTACTGTTTTGCCTTCCTTAAAAGTTTCCTTAATACATGTTAAAATGGGGGCTTCTAAAGTCTAATGCAATTCAACAAGTGTTGGTGTAATGTAGATAACTGGTCATTTTTTTCATTTTTTAAATTTATGGTTGTCAAAGAGGAGGAACCATGATATAATTTCAATTTCCCCTTGGGTATTTGACGACATAAGAGGATGGAGGGGACAACAGGAATGTAAGACTCTGTTAAGGTCAGCAGCTTGTGCCAAAGTACGGCAGATCACATTCAGGAAAACACTCTATTTTTCACATCACATGACACTTCTTAAAAACATACCTCTTTGCTTAAGCCTTTTCTGGCATTTAATGTTGAGAATTAATAGTGCCCTTTGGATTATCAGCTGCATTTTTTTATATTTTACTGTGATTTATTGCTAGATTTTATCACCTTGTACATCGTCTTGAGGCTTAAGTAGAATTTGCTTGTCACCCATTCTTCTAAATACTTCCTCACTACATTGGGTGAGCACAATACAGCACAACTGCAACAAATTAATTCTGCAAGCTGAAAGGGGAAAAGAAAGAAAAAATTGTTAAAACAAATCCAACTTCACCTGCTTCAAAGTGAAGCTGTTTTGAAGAACACCAGTACTGAAGCAACCTTTAATTCTGCATATATTTTGAAACACCTGCCATAGATTACCCCATCAGGTTCAACTAATTACTAATACAATATAGGCAATCTCTCTTTGTCTCTCTTTGTGTTGGATAACAATCAAATGGCATAATAGCTTATTGTTAAATAAGCCTTTAGGACAGGGTGTATCAACTGCTGTGCCTTGGAAAGTATGCTTAAGAAGTGGGGAAAGAGATCCTTCATGGTGTCATAGAAAATATAATATTTACCGTATTTTTTGCTTTATAAGACACACTTTTTCCCTCCTAAAAAGTAAGGGGAAATGTGTGTGTGTCTTATGGAGCGAATGCAGGTTGCACAGCTATCTCTGAATCCAGAACAGCTGCGCAGCGATCCCTCTTGCTGTTCTGACTTCTGGGATAGCCACGCAAAGCCTCTTCAGAGCAACGGGAGGAACGCTCCCCCTGCCCTGAAGAGGCTTGGTGCGGCTGTCCCAGAACAGCAAGAAGGATTGCTGCTTTCGCTGCGCAGCGATTCCTCTTGCTGTTCTGATTTCGCTTTGCTGGAGAGGCGCTGTGCAGAGAGGGAGAGCTGCACAGTGCCCCTTCAGTGAAGCGGGAGGAGAAACGGAGCGCCTTCCGTTTCTCCTCCCGCTTTGCTGAAGAGGCGCTGTGCAGATTCAGAATATTTTTTTCTTGTTTTCCTCCTCTAAAACTAGGTGCGTCTTATGGTCAGGTGTGTCAAATACGGTACCTAGCGTAATATTTACCTTTATAGTAGAAGGCTACACATCTAAACACTATTTTTTATTGCAACCTACTCATAACTAAGCATGCAGTATTAACATTTCAGTGTAGAATACATTATTCATATGCTCTTTTTATAGGGTGCTGTCATTGAGAGCTGCACTCAGTGTGCATCACAGATGGGACTTCTCTTGCCAGAAGGCCACAGTGGCTCCACTTCTAGTGCCCAAGGGCAGACTGTTGCTTCATGTTCTGCCCTGCCCCACATGATCCAGTCTGCTCCAAACAAACCTACGCCACCCACAGTACTTGCTCCAGCTAGTACCAGAGAAACTGTGCCTGATCAAGGAAACCACGAACAGCAGATTAAAGAGGCAGACCTAATAAGATGTATTCAAGCACATCTGGCTCTGTTGCAAGCACATGAAAAGGAGAATGGGAAGGTTGATGGAAAGTACCAGGATGTTGACCAAATTCAGACCAAGCCCTTGATTTCTAGAGAAGACACTGCTGAAGAATATAGTGAGGGTACTCTAAGCGAAGAGGAAAACTTGGATGGAGTTGATATGGCACCAGTGAGAGATACAAGCTGTCAGACGAGCTTTGACAAGGACATTTTAAAACCTAAAAAGACAAGCCTTCAAAAAACAGCTCAGAAAGTGAAAACCGTGAAGTATCTTTTGGGAGAACTTAAGGCCTTGCTCACTGATCAGGGTAATATGAGATTTCTGCTTACACTATAATTGATTTATACTTCTGTAAGGTTTACTTAATTGAATACCAACATGACAAAACCACATTTGTTTCTACTAATTTTGTCTTTCTTTCTACTAAGGTTTCATATTTTAGTATTTTGTTCCTTTTATCTGTTAGTAGTATGCAATAAAAGGGACGTGGGTGGCCCTGTGGGTTAAATCTCAGAGCCTAGGGCTTGCCGATCAGAAGGTTGTGGTTCGAATCCCCGCGACAGGGTGAGCTCCCGTTGCTTGGTCCCTGCTTCTGCCAACTTAGCAGTTCGAAAGCACAAAAGTACAAGTAGATAAATAGGTACTGCTCTGGCAGGAAGGTAAACGGCATTTCCATGCGCTGCTCTGGTTCGCCAGAAGCGGCTTAGTCATACTGACCACATGGCCTGGAAGCTGTACACCAGCTCTCTCGGCCAGTAAAGTGAGATGAGCACCGCAACCCCAGAGGCGTCTGCGACTGGACCTAACAGTCAGGGGTCCCTTTACGTTTAGTAGGCAATAAAGAACAGAGACTCCTTTCTGCACAAGGGAGAGTGTTCACATTCTCAATATGGCTGAGTGGTGCTTTTTGTTTTGTAAGAAATCTGAAGTCAAATGTAAAAAAAAATAAATCGGATCTCTTCCCCTTCATTTTCCTAATCACATCTGCTTCATGTATTGAAAACCAGTGATTTACAACCCATTGCTATTCTTATTAAAATATTTTTGGATACTTTCTTGATTAAGGAATCATGTTCCAGATCAGTACAGCATAAAAGCTTCCAATGGAGTTTGATTTGTAGTGGAGCTGAATGTGAGACATCTTTAAAAAAAAAAAATCTGATGAGTATAGAAAGCAAATATAACTATCTGCCTTGCCCTACCTAATATGAATAGGTTATAAAATGTTTCTTGAGGATTCCCATATTAATGTAAGTCTTATTAGATGGGGAAACACCCATGGTGGAATTCTTATTATTTCCGCTTTGTGAGCTGGCAAGTACTGTTCATCCTGGGCAGCAGGTAAGTAAGCAAGCAAGCTTATATGGAAGTAAAGGAAGCTTCTGGAATAATTAGCTGTAAGCAGATGTGTTTAGGGTCATGTTGCCAACATTACACCAGGGACAATAAGGTTAATATATATATACAAGGGTTCTTACTATTCTCAGGGTAAAGTGCTGTTTTTTTTCTTTTAGCAACATGCACTGCAAAAACATTAATGAAATTTGTTCCCTTCCTTTGGAAAGGGACATATTGAAGACGGAGCTCTGTCTTAAATCTATTGTAGCGTATAGCAGATGTAAAAGTACTTGGTATCTTTCTTAGGATTGTGAATTTTTATTCTTCCACAACATGTTTTGAGGAGTGCATTTGATTACTCAACAGATTCTTCCTTTCCCCATTATAGATGATTCAGAAATTTTGAGGTTGCTAGGTGAAGTGGAAGACACTGTATCACTCTTGCCTGCAGTTGTTGGAAATGCAAATGTACAGGCTGAAATAGCACTTGCTGTTCAACCTCTCAGAAGTGAAAATGCCCAATTGCGCAGGTCAGTAATACATGTATGGAAGATCAGCAATGGTAATTCACCAGATCTCAGTTTAGAACAGTTAACAAAAGGGTGAATGTGCACTTAAAACAAAAGCATTTTACAGCAAGATTACAATTCTGTCCTTTTTTAAAGGAGTAGATGCATAGATTATGTATACATATAAATTAAGTCTGTTATCTATAAAACAGAAATACTGTATAATAAATTAACATGTCGAAACATTTTTGCGAAACAATCTAAAACTTGTTTATCAATGTTCAACTAAAATGAGTAAGATGCATTTGGGAGTTGAAACATCAGCAGACTATCTTGATATAAAAGTTGGCGCAATCCTTGTTCTCCACCCAATTTTCACTTTCTTGTAGAGTTCATTGTGGAAGAAGAGGGGTCTGCCGGGGGAACTGCAAAAGGCAGTTCACTGCTACATAATGGTTATCCACGTAATGGAACAAAATAGTTCCGTTATCGTGTATAATAACAGTTGGTAATGCTAGTGATAACAACTGTGATCAGTTTGTGTATACAGTGGTACCTCGGGTTAAGTACTTAATTCATTCCGGAGGTCCATACATAACCTGAAACTGTTCTTAACCTGAAGCACCACTTTAGCTAATGGGGCCTCCTGCTGCTGCCGCGCTGCCGGAGCACGATTTCTGTTCTCATTCTGAAGCAAAGTTCTTAACCTGAAGCACTATTTCTGGGTTAGCGGAGTCTGTAACCTGAAGCGTATGTAACCTGAAGCATATGTAATCCGAGGTACCACTGTACAGGTTGATAGGACTGTGGTTCAGCCACAGCAAACCTCTCTGCTGACTTTATCAGATCAGCACTGGTAACCTCAGCTGATTGGAAGCTCATCTCAATTGCAGTCAGGGTTCAACTGTATAATACGCAAGCTGCTGTGGGAACATTCTTGGATTTTCTTTTTGTGTATTGGCATTGTTTTAAAGCTGTGGTGCAATTGTCCCAAGCAGAAGAGGATCTAGCAGAGAATGAGGGGTTGTCAGAATGGATAAAGTTAACTTAAAAGCTGAGGAAGATAGTTTTGTCCCCTCACTTTTTATCAAAACCATTGCCATAGAAAATAGTTGTTAAATGCAAACTTTCCCACCCCCCAATTCAAATGAAGACGACTAAGAATATTGAATCAACAGCTGAAGAACCAAGAGAGAGCAGAAAAAGAATGCAATCTGGATAGCAACTATGAATGTAAGTAACAAAGTGTAAAGATTTGAATGTATTTTAAAAGCACTTAAAACAGAATTTGAGGTGTATTCACAGTCTCTGCTGGTTACTCACACTTCTAACAGTTCTGGAAGCAATGCTGTTTTCGTCTAATGAAGTACTTGAATAGCATACTATATTTACTTTATATAAAGCCCTTCATGTAATAGTAAGCCATAGTTAATGGTTTACCACAAATGCACAAATTATACCTGCTTTCCCTTGCTTAAGTGTGTCCAAACTGGAAATAAAGGTTTGTTTTGCTCCAATAACAAATGAAGGATCGTGGTTTCTTTCTCCTGCCCACTAGTAAGAGCAAAGTGTGCATGATTGGCACATTCACAATTAACTATTAGCTATGTTTTTTCATTCTTGTCTACTAAACTGCAGCAGATTTCTGGCTCTAAAGGTTTTCAGTTATGCTGCTGCTTCTCCTAGCCGTTATTCAGACCTATGTCACTCTGTTATTCCATGATTTGTTTTATGCCAATGATTTTTTATAATGTGTTGTACCCAAAGCTAAATACATTTTCTAAATATGTTAATAATAGATTTGCAGTACATATGAAAGCAGAAACTAGTTAGCTGAAGATTTCCTAGCACGTTCACGTGCTCTTGCGAATTAGCTGCATGTGTGAGCAGAAGATTGGTTCACATTTTGGCTTATTAAGATGTGAGATGCTAATCAAAACATTACCACTGTCTCATTACCTCTCATACTGTTTCACATGAAACAATGCCATTGTATCGTACAACTTTATTCAGGAATGGCTTATTGACTTGATTGTGGAAGTGGTTACATGCATGGTTTCTCTTACAGTTTGAATATTAAAGTCTGTATAGTTGGGTCATACTATGAATTTCTACCATGTACATTATTGTATAGAGAAAAGTAGGTGAACCAGTTAGTGCAGGCAGCGAGTTGGCTGTATCTTCATGATTGCAGCTCCAACCAGTAAGTAAGACATCTTCAGTTTGGCCTAGAAGGAAATAGAAAAACTCATTACAGCTACAGCAGAACAGTTCATATATATTCATCTAAGGACGTGTTGCAACATTCTCTACTGATTAAAATTTCTAGACAGTCTCCAAAGGAAGCCTCGGGCAAAATATATTGCTGTTAAAAATCCTAGAGATTACAAGGGCATGCCACCTATTTATATTTTAGTAGTTATAAATATTTGTTCGAGTTGAACTTGTCTTTTAAAACAACTATATGCTTCTTCCCATAGTCTCGCTCCAGTCTTTGAATATCACATTGCAGAGTCAGTTGAATGAATATATGAAAAGCAATGAGTTGCTGCGGAATAAAAATGAAGAGATCATTAAAATGTTAGAAAGCCAAAAAGAGGAAAATAGAAGGCTGACCAGAATAATTCACGAGAGGGACCAAGAGCTTCATGAAAAGCAACAGCAATATGATATTTTCTCAACAAAGCTCAAAATTGGTGTGTACACTGAGGCACTTTCTGGGTTCATATTTGTTTAATGTAAAAATTACAATTTACACTTCTTCAATGTGTTTCAGAAGCAGACGATATACTGAACAGCACAAAGAGCTTGCAGTACAAGTTGGAAGTTGCTGAGAAAGAAAACCAGATTTTAGGCATAACATTGCGTCAGAAAGATGCAGAAGTGAATAGGTTACATGAATTGACTCGGTAACTATCTTAATTTGCTTGTTAAATATGTATCTCACCTTTTAATCAAATGGTGCAAATAACTAATGTTCAGTAACATTGCCCTTGTCTAACTTCCATCTTTTAACTTTAGTCCTATGCAGTTAGCAAAATTTTAGGCCCAACACATTTAGAATGAAAAGCTGAAAATTGCATGTATGTTGATCTGAAAGCTATGATAAACTTATTGAAGACTGGGAGAAGTCGCCATATTGGAAAATGGTGGATTCTTTTCAGTTTAAAAGCACCAGTATTTCAGAAAATAATAGCCAAATTGAACATTCTCCAAAGATTTTGCAGAATAATTTCAGGTAGGATTTTCAAACTTCAGATTTGGGAGGGGGAACATGCCATATGTTTAGCATGGCAAAGGAACAATATTCAGCTTTTTATTTTAAATGTTTGGGTCAAGCACTAGTTTCACTGGAAACTAATATTACAACTAGTATTCATTAACTATATAAATTGGCAAAATACTATAGTAGAAACCCATTTCTGTCACTTTATTAGGGAAGAATGTATTGCTCTTGTGACTTTGTTTCAATAATTAGTTGCTCTTTGAAAACTGTATAATGCAAGTAATCCTGACAGTTAGCTGAACTTCAGTGTGCTACACTAGTTCCTGAAACTTGATTGGCTTACGGCTGACATTGAGGTGGTCGTGCTCAGTCTTCTTGGGACTTGATTCATTCACTATAGAATGCCACCCAGAGGGAGAGTCCAAAGGATGTACAGAAGTTCAGAAAATAAAGATAAATTGTCCTTTGTTTTTCTACAGTTAATGGGTTTGAATAATCTCTCTTTCTATCAAGAATCCAATTTATTTAAGACTTCTTTTGAGGTACATTAAGTATGAAAAGATATTGTGTAGAAACAGACAAAGAGAAACAAATCTGCTTAGTCAAGTCTATTTACTTACCTCCAGCTGTTCCGTCTCTCCTTATTTCACTTGAGCTACTTGTTTAATAGAATATTGTTTGAAGAGGGCATAATTTATCCTGTGAACTGCCCTGAGACCTATGGGTATAGGGCAGTATACAAATTTAAACAATAAAAACAACAACTGCTTCTGGAGCAGGTCGTCTTGCACAAGACCTTTGTTGAAGTTTAACTGATAGTTCTGTCACATATATTTAGTGTTATATCAAGTCTTGCACTGTGGGTGTAGTACTTAGCCACCAGATGGTGTCAGAGATTCATGGACTAAGTTGAAACCTGTCTTGCTAGAAAGGGGGGGAAATGACCCTTTACAATTGCCAGGGTGAATAAAAGTTGTCACATTCTGGTTTTTAGCTCTTGTTTTCTCTTGTTGCTTCACCGAATCCAGTTGGGCACCATTACCACACGTTACAGGTAGATTTTTCAGACTGTAGCTCAAACAAGATGGGGGTTGTTTGTGCAACCTGTGTGCATACTTTTGTCTCCTGTTTAATAGGTTGGAACTGAACTATTGAGACTATTCAAAAAGCTTAAATTTTTACCCCTTCAGCTATTCAGGACAGTGGGGAGCAGAACACGTGCCAGCACTCCTCCACCCCGCAAACAGCTAATCCTCAGACTGTTTTATTTTTTAAAAGAACCGTGGGTGCAGCCACAACAGTTTCATGGGCAGCACTTTTGAGTTCAGTTTTTAATGTTTTTGGAATTTTCCTTGAATGTTCCAGGAGAGAGTGATCAATTTATTTTTTCAAGTGGCAAGCATTCCATTCATAACAATGGGCAAAGGGAGGGGTTCTCCCGCTCTTCCCCAGACACCCATTGCAATGGGTTATGGGAAGCGTGTCTCTTAGTAAAGACTTCCGATTGCAGCATTAGTTCTTCCTTTAAGGCTGAATGGTGGCCGTTTGGCTTTTATTTATAAAAATATTTCTATATCACTATAACATGAAATATCAGGACATTGCGCAACATTAGAACACAACACAATTAAATTAAACTAAATTATTATTATTACAGTGGTACCTCGGTTTAAGAACTTAATTCGTTCTGGAGGTCCGTTCTTAACCTGAAACTGTTCTTAACCTGAAGCACCACTTTAGCTAATGGGGCCTCCTGCTGTCACCACGCGATTTCTGTTCTCATCCTGAAGCAAAGTTCTTAACCCGAGGTACTATTTCTGGGTTAGCGGAGTCTGTAACCTGAAGCGTCTGTAACCCGAGGTACCACTGTATTAATATCAACAACAACAACAACAACAACAACACCACATATACCCGGGCATGTTAGGGAGACAAGCCACCATTGATCACTAGTTTTGGGGGAAGGGGCAGCGCTTTTCCTCCTAGCAGTGTTTGTAACTGTGGCCAACTTGGTTTTGGCCCGTGTGACTTGTTGGAAGGCATTGACAGCTGGGTGTATGGTTGTATTTACATGGCCCCATTTCTAGAAACCCCCCTTCACTTATAGCCTCTCTCACTTGGCATCCTCTCTCCCACACGGTTATGACATTTACTTACACACACACACACATGCACACACACACACACACACACACACACACACACAATGTTCAGTTTTCTTTTTCTTTTATTTTCAGTGAAAGTTTAAATGTCTTTTCCTCTTTACAAAACTAATAGATAATGTTCTACTTCAATACATTGGTCGTTTGGAAGATAAACTTAAGACAGACCACCAAAAAAGCCCAACCTGCAGTCATAGTTTTTAAGTTTTGCTTAAAAGCTCAGTATAGGTATGACTAAACAGTATTACTAACTTCTGTATTGTCTCAAGGTGTACTGTATGCTGAAAGAGGTACAGTATACGATATCTATACCCACAGGTAAGTGGGTATAAAACTACAACCAGAGCCTAACTGCTTGAGACAAATTCAGGATCTTGGATTTTGTCATATTCCTTGTCCTAATTAAAATTAAACTACTGAATTGTTCTCAACAGGGCTCTGCAGGGCAGTATGTCCAAACTTCTCTCGGACCTCACTGTGGACACTGCCAAACCCAAACAGGAAAGAAGTCTGTCAAAAGCACTCTTGGAAATTCATGAGAAACAGCTGCAGGCCGACGCATACCCTCTAAGTGATTCTGTAATGAGCTACCTTAAAAAGTTAGAAACCAGTCCTATTCTGGCAGAGCCTGTCTTACCAAAAAGTAAGATGAAGGTACCAGGTGAAGGATATGACATGAGGGCAACTGAAGACCCTCTTCAAAACAGCCCTATTGCAGGGGAAATAGTGCCTCCAAAAAGCTTTGCCTTTCTAAAGCCTGAAGTTGAAGCAGCCAGCAATTCAAGTACTTTGGTAGAAGGGCATGGGCCGGATGAGACTATTTACATTCCATTGAGTAGCAGTCCATCTCAGAGACCAGCTGCAGCAGCTGAAAGGACAGATACACAGTGTCAAGTTCCCCCAAAACAGGACTGTAACTTTGGGTTGGCCAATTCCAAGCAACCAATTAGGTTTGAGATGCCGGGCAACAATGCAAAGGCCGTTGATAAATTGTATGGTAGCTTTAGTCCCAAAAAGACTGCGGAAAATAAGTCTGAAAGTAAGGGGAAGACAGCAAAGCTGGAGGGAGACAGATGCCAAATGCAGCCAAAAGAAATAACAAATGAAGCTGCTAAAATGATTTCGGACGATCCAGATGGACTTCAGCCTGATAAATTCTTTTATGCTTCTATTCCACATCAGAAAGGAAACACGCAGAAAAAAGGCCCTGGTATTTCTGTTCCTGACTCCAGTTTCTCAACTTTTGACTGGATGTCTGGAAAATCTGAATGGACTATATCTTCCTTTTCAACATTCACTTCTAGAGATGAAGAAGACTTCAAAAATGGTCTAGCAGCCTTGGATGCAAACATAGCTAGACTGCAAAAGACTTTGCAGAATAGTTTGAAAAAAACAGCAAGTCCTTAATGCACCATTTCAGAAGAAGCTAGAGAAATGCTTTCCTTGAAATCTAGTTATTTTATAGCATGTTTGTACTTGTATAACTTTTGAATTGTTGCTGTAACACTTTTTTTTTACTGACAAGATGAAGAGCTGTTTTACTGGCAAAAAATTATTCATTACTTAAATGAAGATTAAATCTGAAATATTCCTGTAAATTTTAATTGTAAAATGTAAATAAATGTAAGTTTTCTAATAAATTATTAATTATTTGTTAATAAATTGATTGAATCTACTGTTTTTCTGTGGGCTTTATTTACCATTAATTTTTCATCTAAACACCACCTCAAGCTTGATTTTGTACTTCAGAAAGTGGTGGACTCTCCTTCCTTGGAAGTTTTTAAACAAATTGGATAGCCATCCATCAGGGATTCTTTAAGCTGTGATTCCTGCATTGCAGGGGGTTAGACTAGATGACCTTTGGATTTCCACACACAATTCAACACTGGAGGCAATTGCCTTCGTTTTTTCCTTGTTCCCACCAGCCTTTCCTTTCTTTGTTCCCACCATCAACAGACACCCTTTTCACACATCTGAATATAGAGAGGGAGGAATGAGGGAGCAGCTTTGTTTATATACTTGACCTCCATATATTCACCACAAAGGCCTGAGCAACCTTTGGGCAAAAACTGAACAGGATCCCTCAGAATATAGAAAGCAGCATGGGGGGGTGGGGGGGGGAATGTTTGCTCAGGTCTTGTACTGAACATGGAGGTTCTTGACACATTCAAAGGACATCTGAAAAGCAATTGAAACCTACCACTGGAAGAGCTTTAAACCACTGCTGGGTAAAAATATGGCATTTAGCCTATATTGAAATGCATTAAAGGATTTTGAAGTTAATTACATTTGAAATAGTGATGCCACCGTGTAGCTGAGGTACTCTAATGTCAGAGAGGTAGCCTGGTTTACTGAGATCCCAGTTTACAGAAACAGTAGAATATTAGCTTATCAGGACTAAATCTTTCAGTGCAGCACTGTAAGGTTTTAATCATACAGAAGTTCATAAGGTGGTGGGTGAGAAAAGATTAAACAGCCTTCCCCTTTTGGGAACATTGAGCTTGATGAAATAAAAAGCTTGCATCACATTTCAGAATCCGATCGAAATCAAAGCAGTATTGTACTATTCCTGTGCAAAAGATGACAGCTTGCGTTTTAGCCCCAATCTTTATGATTCCCATTTCCACACAATTTTTCATTATCTCGGATTTGATTACCATTGTCCCAGCCATCAAACTAACTGAGGCGATGTCTTGTCAGTTCCCATTACCAAGACTGCTGTAATTCAAAAACTGCAAGGTACTAAAATGACTTAATATCATTTTCCAGGTGTAGTTACATAATTATTTCTGAAAGGGGACGAGAGAGGAGGAGGAGGAGGAAAGGAAACTTCCAAAGCCACTGCCTTCATTTCTCAGAACAACTTGTATAAGTTATTCATTATACTAGAATGAGCTTATAAATAGAAGCTTTGTTGTTGAAGCTAGAAAACTTCTACATAGTTAAGTTTTTAATTATAAACAGTTATCCTTGTTAAGTTGTCTGCGGAGAACAGCTGTATTACCAGCACCTCACAGTGAGGGGTGGCTCAAGATACTTGGTTGCTTGAGGGGAATAAGGTCAAGACAAGACTCTGCCCTTCCACCGGTCATCCTTCCATGTGCAGGCGCCAGCTGGACTAGCAGTTGGGACAGGGTCTTCCATTGCCCCTAAAAGCAACAGAATAGGTTCAAGCCAGAGGCACCTAGCTCATTTTATTTCATGGTGGAGCTGCTCCTGTACGTACACACACACACCCACTTCCTCTAAGCAGGGCATATAACCTTTCATGGGGAAAAAAATTATCAGTGCTTATCAAACTGGGGAATTAGCAGTGGGCCTCAGGGCCACAGCCTGCCTGCTGCCTCCTCCCTCACCTGACTGCCAGCAGAACCCCACCAGCACATGGCATCATCACATATGGAAGTGGAAGTAGGTTAGAAGGCAAGGTGGTAGGACAGAAAAGCAGAGGAAATAAGGGAAATGGACAATTGGATGGATGGACTGGCTGGCCAAGTGTGGAGGAAGGAGGATAGGGATGATTGGGTGGGGAGGGGGGAGGACAGGAAAACAAGCCGTGATTATGATGCTGATGAACCTTCTGACCACACACACACACACACACACACACACACAGCCCCCTAAATCTTCCTTCCCACCTGGTGTCCAGCTGAGCCAGAAAGCTTCTACTGCCCAGCTCCAAGGTAGCAGCTACCTTCTTTTTCTTTGGCAATCACTCGTAGCTGAGTAAGATTGTCTTCCATAAACACGGTTTTAACAATGAGTTCATACCTCATAAGGACAAGCAAGCATTGGGCAGTTTTGCTGAGAAGTCAACAGTAGTGTATACATACCAAATAAAGATGGTTGGGAGATGGGGAACTACACACACACACCCCAGAATAGGAAAGAAGCAGAGAAGAGAGGAAAACTTATTAAGAGAAAGAAATAGAAGTAAAAAAAAGGAGCGCGAAGGAAGAATGAAAGAAACTGGTAGCTTGGGGTAGGTCCAGAGGGCACGTGCTAAGAATGGAAGGAAGAGTGGAGAAGAAAGCATAGGAGCTGCATAAAGACACCAAGAGGCAATGGGTGGGGTGAGTGGGTGAGGACCTATACAACAGCAGCACCTCTGCATAAAATTCTGCCTGAAATGGGGGGGGGGGGTCATAATATCTCCAGAGCCACTATCTCTATCCTGTGAAAAGCTGAATTGTGGCAGGAAGTTCCATAGAAGGAACTCACAAATAACTTTTTTAGCAATTTGCAAAGAGAGATCAGATATCGAGAGAAAGTGATGCAACAGAAATGGTGCTTCCATCCACAGCCATTTTTTGAGCAGTAGGTCTCAATTTGTATAGCCATTTGAAATGGGCCATGGAATGGTAGAAAGTTTGAGAACTACCACACTGGAGTGATGCAAGTATTTTATTTATGCACTACACAACAAGCAGGACCCCCAAAAGTGCAGCACTGTTAAATGTTTTCTTCCAATCCCAACTGCAGAATTCACATCAGCTTCTTGAAACTTATTCAATATGTTCATAATTTTCTCTTAGCGTTCTCAGCAGCAGATAGCAAAATGGAATCCCAAATAGCTAGAAAGAAAGCACAGAACATACAGAAATTTTAGGATTGGGTATTTGGGTACTTAAAACACAAAGAAGGAAGACACAATAGCTAGACAGTAATCAGAACTATTTTGCTCTAGATATATTTTTATATATACACTGGGGCAACCACTTGGCTCACTGCTTCCAATGTGAATTATAAGGATTGTCACCTTACATTAGAAAAAAACATTTTTAGAAAACCCAAATGCATCTGGCTGGTCCTTATTTCTAAATTTCAAAAGCCTGGCTCTCACATTTGTCAACATCAACATCAAATAGCACCCATCTATAGTATTTAAATCTAGATCTACTTGATAGACCAGTCTAACACTTCAGTTTAACACTTCATGCTTACCTGTGCAACTCCAGCAAAAATCCCAACCCCTCCAAGCATAGCAATGTGCTCTTCAACCCAATTATTCAGTTTTAGAACACACCCCTGGAGAAAGAAAGAGAAAAACCTGATATTTTAATTGCTGCAAGGGGCACCTTCAAAATCAAAGGCAGAGCTTTTTAAATAAATGAAAATCTAAGTTTCACATTGTGATTAAGATTCACACACACACACACACACACACACACACACACACACGGAGAGAGGGAGAGAGAGAGTCTTCAGAGGCTCCAGTTCTTTTTATTCCTGCTGTCAAATTATGAGAGAAAGTAGTGACGCCCATTAAATCCAAAGGCACCATTCCTCGACTCCCAACTCCCGCCAGTGTTAGCTAAATCATATCCCCATATCTTCCTAAAGGCAGTAGGTAAGGGGACCATCACAAGAGGCAAAAAAGCTGATCTCCTCTACCCTCCTCCCCAAAATGGTTGATAGATGGGAAAGTCAGCAGTCATTGCTTTTCGTTGCATGGGAAACAGATGGGGAAGCCTCCAAGGGTTAAACAACAAGAACGAGAACCTCTAGCTACAAATGAATTAATGCCTCCCCCTCTTCACGAAAAAGAATCAAGGTGGAATGCAATGTCCAAGCCAGCTTGGAAGGTCTGGAGGTTTTGCAACATTAAGACTCATTTATCAAGCACCAGATCAGGGCTTAGACACAACTATATATGCAGTCTAAAACAATGTAGATCATTGTCTTTTAGAAGTTTTTATCTGGAGAGCCCAACCATGCCACATTCCTAACCTGGTCCTTCATTTAAGAGCACTTCTGGAGGCTGCTACCAAGAGTGCTGGGACCAAAGTCCCAAATCAGTTTGTGATTTTCAAACACTCGGTGAAATCCAAAAGTTACTGCAACAGAAACTTAAACCTGGCATGCGAAGAAAGCCTTAGCAAAGAAGTCACTTTAAAATGAACCAGCCCAGAAATGGCTAATGGTGAGAGATTATCAGCAGATATTTCCTTTACGTGAGCCATGCTTCCCTGAATGGGCAACCTCCTTCCTGTCTGGAAGATGGGAGTATAAGTTCTTCAGCATCAGCATTTAGAATCTGGGCAGAGTAAGATCACTGGGAGTTCAGTGGGAGTTTCAGGAAACTCCTACATGATTAGTGATTGTACTGCTAGCTTCAGTGCACTATGCTTGCATTAATGTTACAGGAATACAATGGAAGTCCCTAGTGCGTACTCTCTCATCACAAGGAGACAAACCTTGTGCAGGGGTACACCACTGAACATCCTGCTATTTAGGTAAATAGGATTGGTTTCTTTTCCCATTCATAACAGTACATGGAGTTTTGCTTCGTCGTATCTGAACACCAAACCAAAGTGTTGGAATTCCAAACGTTCCCCATCAACTTAGAACTCAGGACAGATCTAAAGGATGAGGGTGGTAGCCTGATGTTTTTCCTGCATATTAAGTATTCCAAGATGTGCTGGTCACACTGAGAAATAAGATGTCACACCAAATTTGGTTGGGCTCACTCTGGTGTGTGTGGTGGGGTGTACACCTTATAGACAGCTACATTAAGAGACAGACGATTTAATGTGTTCTCTGTACGTGCAACAGCTCTTCCTGTTCAGATGCACCAATGTAAAATGTGCACTCTATTTACTCATTTCATTTAACAAAATGTACACACTGCTTGTGATTTACAAACAGCAATCTAAAACACTCATTTTAAAATACCAGTGAAAGCAAACCTTAGAAATAAATTGTCAAAATATAAAATCGGCTATTTTAAAACACATACTGCCGCATTGAAGGATCATTTGCTTGCAAGTGCTGAATGGAAATTATGTTGCACCTGTAAAAATGCAAGTTCCGTAGGCTGAAATGGTAGAGTGGGTATATATTGCGATCCTTTAAGTAAACTGGTCCCAAGCTGTTAAGGGTTTTATATAGTAATAGTGACACCTTAAATTTGGCCTGGTAAACTGGCAGCCAGTGCAGATCTCAGTGCAGGTGTTATATGCTGATAAGGTCTCCCTCCTGTCAGCAATTGTGCTTCATCATTCTAGTTTCTAGACCAAGCACAACAGGAACAACACATCAAGTTCATTGCAGTAATTCAGTATTTACATGTGCTTGGACTACTTCTGGTTAAGCTATACCAGTCCAGGAGCAGCTGCAGCTGCCACACAGAGTTGAAAAAATGTGCTCCTACCTAGGCCTCCAGACACACAGCTGACTCCAAAATCACCCCCAGAATGCAAGTCTGCTCCTTCAGAGGGAGTACCTAGAGATGGGAATTGGCCAATTTCTCAGAGGCGGGAACCACTCACTCAGAGCACCTCTATCTTGCTAAGACAGAGTTTATTTTCCCTTATCTGGTCCACCACTACATCTAGGCACCAGTCTGGGGCTCACAAGGCCTCTCCCAGTTCAGATTTTATGGAGACATAGATGAATGACATCAGCATACTGATGGCATCTTGCCCCAAATCTCCTAATTTCACTCTCAACAGCTCCATATAGATTGTTATAGCACTGGGAATAAAATAGCGCCCTGTAGTCCTCTGTAGCAGAACTCCAAGGGAGACAAAAAACACACTCCCAATGTTACACTCGACTATGCCTTAGTCGGGGGGGGGGGGTCAAGAGGACACATGGTTGGGCATATAGCCACAAGCAAATAATAACAATTTATTATTTGTACCCTGCTCATCTGTTTGGGTTGCTCCAGCCACTCTGGGTTGCTTTGAGCTTATATAAATACCTTACTAAAACATTAAACCTTAAAAAACCTCCCTATACAGATGTCCACATCATCAGGTCACATAATCTGAAATCAGTTCCACAACATGTCACAGACTATAGAATTGGATGCTTCCACTGAAGCTGCAGAGTCAAGTTAATTCAGAAGTAGGGTGACTTTATCCTCACAATGTACAGCCAGTTGTTCACAGCAGGCCCTCAAAGGCTCCAGCGGGTCCTTCCTCCACAATGGGAATCAGCAATCTCTGGACCACCTTAAATAACTCTGCTGGTTGGCTACTGGAGGCTGCAATGCTGGCTGCAAAATGTGCCCATATCACGGACCACACTGCCACTTGGTAGACATGATTATGTGCACTAATCTGTGTTTGGTTGACTTTAGAGGGAGACTTGCACTCTGGTTTTCGCCTGGCTCTAGCCCATTTATTTGCTAGCACATCCCTAACTGGTTGCCCACTTTGAAGGATATTAGTTTCAAACACACATTTCCCTTAAGAGACAAGACATGCAAGATGTGGTTTTTGACACTGTGGGGGTGCAATAGAAAAACAGCACCCTTGTGCAAGATTGTGCAAGAGGAAGCATCTGCTGACTTGTTCCCCCACCGCCGAGGTCACTGACAAGCTGCCTAACCGCAAAGCTTATGCGGCTGTCATGCTGTCTGGAGTTATGTCCTGGTAGAGAATAGTTATTCTGAGAAATGCAAACCCTAGCTGTTTTCCACCCGAGTGCTACACGTGTATATGCAACATGATGTAATGTGCGCAAGGCTAATAAACATGCAAGGCTGCTGGGGGACAGAGCTCACTCCTTGCTTAAACCTTCACCCATGACTCTTCGTTATTTTCCTCCGCACCTGGTGGGCTGGTTCCCCGACATGACACTATGACGTTTACCTGCTGGTTAATGCCTGCTGTGTTTTTGCTTAGATCTGTGATGCAGTTTTCCACAGGTACTCTGCAACAGCTTATTGGGACAGATGAAGAGAGAGATCCAAATGTTGTGTTCAGCCAATCGGTATAGTTCTCTGCACCACAGCATTGGAACTAGAGTGGAAGGGAAAGGAATTTAGGTTGGTAAGCAGTGGAACAGATAGTGTGGTTGTTGATGAAAGCCTAACAACTCTTCTTGACAACAACAAAAAGTATGAAAAAAGATTCTACTTATACTAATATGCTATTCTGCTAAACAGGTAATCTGAAGGCGCTATGACAATTTGTCACAGCCATAGGGTGAACACTAAATTATTTTATTCCCATTGTCAGACAGGTTTTGCAAGGGTTTTATTTTAAGCCCTACAAAGTCTTTTTCAACCAAAGAAAATGGTGGGACAGAAAATCTCAAAAAGCAATCATTTTATCATGCCATCTTCAAAGTTGCGCCTCCTTGACTTAGAGGGATTCTTCCTTTTTCTTTCCAGAACCAGTGGGTTTTCTGGTCTAATCCAATAGCCTTTAGATGGCAGCATAGAAAGACTGAAAAAATATATTGTTATTCACGCTTGAGCTTCTTAAATGTTACCAGAATACTGGGCTTCACCATTAGTTCTCTGCTCTTTATAATTGAAAAGAAAGTTTGCTTACCTCTGTCTGTAAAGAGTCCACACCTTTGGTGATCTGCACTTCTTCATTATATTTGTCCAATGTCTTCAAGGTATCGCTCAACAAAGTCTGATGCAACTGCATTAACACACACAGGGTTTTCCAAAGGCAGGAGAAAATAATTTGCATGGAGGGGGGGTAGAGCTAAGGAGAACCATTTCTTTTTATGAAAGGAAAGGACTTCAAGCACACAAATGGAAGTTGTGTCTTAATCAATCAATTGGACTCTTACTGAGTGGGCCCTTTCCCTCCACTTAGCTTGGCTCCCACAATTCTGCCCGTGAAAGTTTAGGCAAGAACAGCATTTTGTACGCTAGAAGGATCCATCTAAAATAATCACTTAAATTAGGACTACACAATATTATCTTTTCTGTGTAGCAGGTAAGGAAGAGAAAGGGGAATTCAAACATCTGAGAGACACTGGCACATTCAACAGGTGGATCATTAACAAGTTACAAAGTTCCAAGCATAATTCCTAGACTGCATACTACTTTACTGCTTCCAAGCTAACACCCCTTTTGTACATCTACTTGCAACACATAGGGTCTCACTCAAGGCAGAAGCAGGAATGGAAATCCATTTACATATTTTGGTTAAGGAAGCACTTCTTACACTAGCTCTGGAGAAAAAATGGGGACCATCTGTGGTATAGTCTAACATTGTGCCGAAGTGTTTCCCTATTTTCTCTCTGGTGTTTCAGTTTAGCGGCAAACCCTATGAAGACATGACTGGCACTAATGTTTCTTGCAAGGCTTCTGGTTTAACTCATTTGCTTTCTGAGGTCTGTCCACCTTACCAATTGGGAAATGTAGCCAAGACAAATTATTTTCATACTTTCTCCCTCAGCCTTTCTATTCTATATTTATTGAGCACATGGTAGGCAGTTAAAAGCTTACACACAGTTAAATATCCCAAGAAAAACTCAATTCAGTGCTGAAGATTTAATTAAAAATGGAATGATATGTTATGAAGCATTTATAAAGCAAATATAAAAGAACCACATCAGGACTACCCTCTTAAATTAGAGGAATAACTGGAAGGCCTCCTGTAGGTAGAGACCAACTAGTATAGAGGATAACCAGGGAAGACTTGCCCCACCAGATTCAATTCTACTTCTATCAACTGAGGCAAATAGTATGTGCTTCAGACTGAGAACATGGGCTTCAGGACTGGAAAGATCTCTTCATTCCACACCAGTTTTGAACAACAGGCCTGTTCCAGTTACATGAATTAGTAGACCACAGCTGGTTTTCAGGCTATTTTGCAGGTGGGATTCAATCACATATTGGCAAATTCAGGTTGGAGTAGTCTTCTAAACCTGCTGCCCAAAAGTAAGACACATGGGCAGGTAGGCTATGTGACTGAGGGGACAATTCAGCAGTAATAATAATAATAATAATAATAATAATAATTTTATTATTTGTACCTCACCCATCTGACTGGGTTGCTCCTTTGGGCAGCTTCCAGCAAATACAAAAACTTAATAAAACATTAAACATCAAAAACTTCCCTATACAGGGCTGCCTCCAGATGTCTTCTAAAGGTTGTATAGTTGACATCTGATGGGAGGGCATTCCACAGGGAGGGCACCACTACTGAGAAGGCCCTCTGCCTGGTTCCCTGTAACCTCACTTCTCACAGTGAGGGAACTGCCAGGAGGCCCTTGGAGGTGGACCTCAGTGTCCGGGTTGAAAGCTGGGGGTGGAGACGCTCCTTCAGGTATACAGAGCCGAGGCTGCAAGCACAAGCTTTGGATTGGGAACATTTATTTTAAAAGGTTTTTGTTTTATTGGAGGGGGACAGAGAAGGAAAGAAATACCTCCTTGCTGTGGAAGGTGATAAGCACAGGAGTGTAATGCATCGGTTTGAAATAATAAAGTATGTGCCCATCCCACTTACTGCAATTGCCCACTTCTCTTTGAGAATATTGACTTTAGGTAAGACTCTAGTTCTACATCTTTCCAACATCACCCAAAAGCTATTTAAGGTGGTGCCTTGTTTTAGCACAAAACTTACCTTATGTCTGTAAGTGTAGGCGGCAGCACCAGCTGTGATTTCAAGTACCAACAGTGCCAACAAAATGCCTATGAACTAGAAACAAAGAGTTGCTTTCAGCTTAAAGGTCATTTTCTTAACAACAACAACAAACATCAGGATTGTGCTAAGTGGTTTTTTAAAAAAAATACTTGCAGAAAATTGCATTGGTGCCCTCATTTTTTTCTTATTTACCTACCCAGGTCTCCCACATCCCCTAGTCTAATTTTAATTTATCTGAGATGCCAAGTTGATTGTATGATGCCTACAGAGCCAAATTCAACATTTTGTCCATTATCACTGGCACCAATATAGATTAAGAGATGAAGTCACACTTAGGAATAGTCAAAATCAAATGGCTGATCATATCCAAGTTCAGTCTTCAGGTCCATACATGGTAAATTAACCTGCTGTGGTTAAAGTGTATACCACTGTTTATATGTTCACTTCTAAAACAACATATTTTGGGGCATGTGTTCAGTATTAAAAGCCAACAGGCACACACTCGGATGGAGTAGTTTTCCCAGCTGAACAAGAGAACAGGGTTTGAGATGAAGAACAGTTACCTACATAGGGAGGATTTTTTTACTTATCACGAAGTATACTCAAAAACTCCTTCATATAAGATATGTACACATGAGCGGCTTAAAACACAATGCATTTGCACATTGCTAAGTACACCAGAGAGGTGGCAGGGATACCTGTTTGGTACCCCCTCCAATTCCCATTCATGAAGTTGTCATCCGCACACACGCTGCCATCTGTGAATTTGCAATGGATGTCTCAAAGTTACACACCTCAGCTTGTCTGCGAATGGAATGTGGTTTAATTGCCTTTTGGATTGAAGCTGGTTTGAGGGAAATCACATCAAACAGCAGTTTTTCCTCAATAAACCATAGGATAGCTCTGCATTGTGGGTAATGTGGTGTGTACACGCAAGCCAGGAATGGGAATACAATAGAGGCAGAATAGTGGCTAATGTGTACAATGGTACATCGGGTTACATATGCTTCAGGTTACATATGCTTCAGGTTACAGACTCCGCTAACCCAGAAATAGTGCTTCAGGTTAAGAACTTTGTTTCAGGATGAGAACAGAAATCGTGCTCCGGCAGCGCAGCAACAGCAGGAGGCCCATTAGCTAAAGTGGTGCTTCAGGTTAAGAACAGTTTCAGGTTAAGAACGGACCTCCGGAACGAATTAAGTACTTAACCCGAGGTACCACTGTACATGGCCTATGGTCTTCAGAAGGTTTTTACTTGCTCTAAAGACGGGTCATTATACCGTTTGCTCTGAACCTAATCTGTTTTGAGTGAGGGTGGGGAAATCAATTGTGCAAGATTACTAGTTTATTTCTTGCCTATTTCTTATGCTTAGGCAACAATACATTTATTATTTGTGGTTGTCAGGACGGTTGCCTAGCATAGTTCTTCCTGTGGGTATTACAAGGAATTAAAAGAATGGGTGAGAGACCTAAGCGCACCTCCCCATTGAATTACACAACCCAGATAAGAAAGCACTGCAACTTAAAAAAAGAAAATCAATTACACTATGGCATCTCTTGACCCAGCCCTCCTCTGTGCCTTCAGAAGGGTAGAGGTTAAGATTCAGCTAAATTTAAAGGCCTACTCATGCTTTGGATCTGACTTAGAAATCTGGGTATCATTACTTACCAATTTGATCAAGTTAGGACTGTGTTTTAGTAGAGCAACTTTCCCAAAGGCTGACGAAAGGACGACAAGTGTGCCAATAACTGTTATGATCACAGGGACTTCTGAAGCAGCATCATTTATCACTACATAGATATCACGGAGCTTCACCTGAACAGATACTCCAATGCACATTAACACAACTCCAGAGACCTAGAATGTTAAGAGTCAATAAAAGAAGCTGTGAAAGCTTACTCTTGAGGAAACATGCATATTAGTCACACAGTTTATAGTAATAATTTAAAAAATGACAAACAAGCATTGTGTAACTTGTTAAATTGCCCCCTAGTCTCTGCATTAAGGACTGCTTTAATTTCCCCATTGTAAATCTGATTGCAAATGATCAAGCCTTGGTGTATCATCCTGCATGGGCTGGCTGTTCCTATGTAGAATATAAAAGCTAATTTATATCAGTACAGTACTCTCTCAGGCTTTGCTTTTTTACCAGTTCTAAGTTGCATCATGGAGGGCCTGGACTTGCACTGCCTTTCCATTTCACCCATACCACCTCTTTATCTCAATAGAAATACAGTAAGTTTTGTATTCATCCTTTTTCTTAAGTTTTGTGTTGCATAAGCACTTCTTTTTAGGAAGGAGGCCAATAGGAAAGTCTGACTTTCTCATTATGTCTCAATACAAGGGGAGCCAGTGTGGTTAAAATGTTGGACTAGGACCTTGGAGACCAGGGTTCAAATCTCCAGTTTGCCATGAAGCTCGCTGGGTGATCTTAGTCTAGTCACCGCCTCTCAGACTAAGCTACCTCACAGGGTTGTTACGAGGATTAAATGAGTTGGGGAAGAGCCACGTATGCTACTTTGAACTCCTTGAAAAATGGTGAGATATAAATGCAATAAATATAATAAAAATAAAAAGAAGAAGAATGATGCCTACTAAGAACCCAGTCCTATTGAACACAATGGGTTTTACTCATTGGGGTTAGGATTACAGCCTTATTTTCTCAAAAACTGGGAGTGTATAATTTTTGTTAAACAACACTGGATGACCAAGCAGATTTTAATAGAACTATTTTAACTTGTTAAAAGAGGCTATGTTCATTAACACTGTACAACTTGAAAGGTTGCTAGAGAATTATCTAGAGTACTTTTTACACAGAAACCTTACAGTGACATCTTAAGACTTCTAACCTATAGCAGTTACAAATCTATACAATTATTGGCAAGCACAGCAGTAGAACAACTAAAACAAAACCAGAAGCTGATTGCACACAAACACAATTCAATTTGTAAGCACAAAGAATGTTTCACTCAACAACAAAAAAGTTATGTAATAGATTATACAGCTTCTATTCAAATCACTGCATTTCAACACAAAACCTAAATATACCACTAAAAGTAACTTACCCAATAAAAGAAGATAGCCAGCCAAAAACAAATTTTAACAAATCTTTCAAAATTACTAATCCCTTTTTCATTCATCTTGCTTACTAACTTCTGTCTTACACCTCCTGAATAACCAGTAGTGATGATAGATATACTAACTCTAATGTGCATTCAATTGTTGCACTTGTCACCAATTTCAAGTTAATTATCCTTTTAATGGAAAATGTCAAGTGCTTTATAGAGAGGAACAGGTTTGTTAAAAGTCCTAAATCACTTATTCTGGAGTGGTGTGGTAAAGCAAACTAAATCAGCTGTGGTCACATAATGCATTGCTCCTGAAACAACTTGTTCCAGACTTCTATATGTTGAATTACCAGTCACTATGTAGGGATAGAGATCACTCCTCATGCCTTCTAATTATCAATACCAACATCCATAAATAAATGAAGTAAGACACTTGTGCATAGTCATTAGCTGTGTACAAAAAATTAAAAAAAAGCAATCTGGATGACAAAAAGTAAAGGGAGTTGTGTTGGCTCTTCAGAGAAATTCAACTTACAAAATAATTGAAAAGCTTTAAAGAGTTCTGAAGTATCAGAAAATTTGTTTACTACTTTCTCTGGTCCTAAGAAAAATATTGTCCTATTGTTGATTTTTCAATTTGAATGGTGATACACTGCAGAATAAATATAGGAAGGAAGCTATCATAAAACCCTGATATTTTAATGGCTGTTATTCTGAAAGCACCTGGGCTTTATCATGGAAGCTGTTGCAGAATCTGAAATACTGAAAAGTTCAGGAATGTTTTTAAAATAGAATAAAGGGTCTAGTTCTCATGGTTGTGGTGAAATGCTTAGAAAACAAGCTTTGCCTACTGATGTAAAATACTGCTTCCATATGCCATTGCAAGGAGACCATGCAGTCCAGGTCCAACCAGTCATTAGTAGTATTCTCGAAGCTTTTCAGAGACAAGAACACCTAATTGTGACTTGCTCTGCAATAGATGCACCAACAGACCATTAAAGCCAGAACTCAAACATTTTTTCTCATCATTGACTTGTCTTAAATAAATGAAGCTAACTTATTAGATATTGTTGTTGAAAGGTGATGCTAATTAGTGTTGTTATCTGCAACCGCAATTGCAGATACAGTATTGACTATTTTTTTAACTAATTAAAGAAAGAAACCAGGCCATGTTCCTGCTTGACCAGAGGGGGGATTCTTGAGTCTGTGCTTTGCTTTTTTTAAAAAAATTGAAATCTCAGGACTCAAAAGTATCACCTTCTAGCAACTGTCTTTTTCCAGCAAACAACAGCTTGTATTGGCGTGGAATCAAAGCTGGGTGCAAGAACAGCCATGTCTGCACCTGCATGGAAAAATTAGTAGAACTTTCTTGCCAGTGTACATTAATATTAACAGTCTGTTTTTCACTCTCCCCCCCCCCCCCCGCCCAAGTATGAACCAGCTCCCAGCATTTTACCACTGTGTCCCAGACCATGTCTCGGCTTTTATGTATATGAACAAAGCAATAATAATGGCCAAACGCAGAACCTGGCAGTCCTGCTCTTGGCAGGAGAAAGTCTGTGGGGATGTTATTATTATTATTTAAGCCTACAGAGCTTCAGCCAGTGCAAGTGTTGAAGTTCAGCATTTTTGTGGCTTGCAGGCATTAGAAAGTTAGGCATTCCCAGCAAGCTAGCACCCCACCACACACACACACACCGTCCAGCACTCTAGGCATGAGAGTCTAAAGAATATTTTTGGGAGGTTGTACCGTAGTCAACATTCCAGATATCATTGAACTGCAACTCCCATCAGCCTTACCCAGTATGGCCAATAATCAGGGATGATGGGAGTTGCAGTTCACAACATTGACTACCCCTGTTTGTAACCTCTGGCTCCCTTGCTAGGTTTCTGAAAATATTGTTGAAGCTTTAACAGAATGAATCTCTCCCCTCTCCAGGTCTATCTTTCTGTCTTTCATTGCACTCGTGCTGGCAAAGCAAAGAGAGCAACTGAGTAGATAAGAGTCTCAGGCGTGATGCTGATATGCCGTGTGTGGCAATATGAAACAGAGTCTTTTCAGTGGTGGCACCTAATCCACCTTTCCAGGAAATATTCACCTGACTCATGCTTGGGTTGACAGGCTAAGGCTCTGCAAATTCAGAGGGCCTTAGGTTCAGAATACAACTAGCCGTCCTTATTCCTTATCTGGGTATGCTGTGCTCTTTTACTGCTGCTGTTTCGTTTTGTTTGAAATAGCTTTGTTTTTATACGGTTCAGCAAGGCAGCTCAATAGATTCTGAAGGATAATTATATAAGATGGATTCTAAACAGTTTTAATTAAATGCATTTAATATAAGTGAATCTTAACAGAAAGGGGTCCTAAGCACTTTAAATGTAAGCAATGTGTGAATTGCTCCTGGAGATCTGAGTATTCCAGGTTTCTTTGCTTTTAGTGGATTAAATGTAGAATGCCTAGAATAATATTCTTTGACCCTGACTGTAGTTGATCTCTTCATTACCAGTCAAGCATTTTACATGCAAATCCAGGAATGTCACTATTCCATTGTTCACATTTTCAACTCCAGCTGCTTAGATAATTGACTTCATTTGCGATTAAAGTGTTCCCATAATAAACAAAAGGTTGTACATGCAGTGCCATTTCAGAACCTTTTTACTGCTAGTAAGCTAGAGGAAGAGGCTCTCCTCTGTAGTTCTGAAATGTCTTCAGATTTTGTGAGGCCAAATTGCAGGTGTGCTCCAGCATGACACATGACAAAAAGAAACATTTTGAGTCTAAAAAAATAGAAGAGATATACAAGTTTAGGGCATGAGCCAGTGAAAGTAAACTCCTTACCAGCACATTCCTATGGAGATCTATTCAGAAGTAGCTCCCATTTAATTTGATTGGGCTTTCTCCATGGGCGTAGCAAGGATTTGTTTTAGAGGGGGGCAGAACCAAGTTATTTGCAATGCAGTTGGTCAGTTAGTTAGGTACGTATTTTTATTTATTTACTTGACTGAGTGGGCAGATGCCTCCCTGCCACCCCCATGGCTATGCCCATGGCTTTCTCCCAACTAAACGTGCATAGTCTAAATCCTGTTTACTCCAATGTGAGAATTAAGCAGGTATAAGAGATAGAATTGTAGAGTTGAAAAGGGCCATGAGGGTCATCTAGTCCAACCCCCAGCAATGAAGGAATCTTTTCCCCAATGTAGGGCTCAAACCCACAACCCTGAGATTAAGAGTCTCGTGCTCTACCAGCTGAGCTATTCTTCAATAACACACAAGACAATACATATGCCAAACAGAACAAAATATAATAGGACAGAACACAAGCAAACATTAGATAATGTATTCTCCACAACACAAGCACCACACAGGACACAACAGAATGCAATGCAATGCAGCACACACAAAGAATGTGCAAAATTGTCACACGTGCCATACACTGTATGGCATTATATCCTACAGGGCTGCTCATTGGCGGAGGTATAAACACCTTTAGTAGTGGAAATGCTCACACATGTACCAGAACAGTTAGCAACGGCCTTGATGCTTAGTTGGGTATTTATGCACAGAAGTTAAGAACACTGGGTGGTATTGTCATGTGTAACCAGGGTTGCCACCCGTCCCTAGAAAAACGTGGTCATTTGTTTGAGAAAAGTGTCACCTATCCTGTTTTGACGCCTTTTTCATGTATTCAGTCTCTTCTTCCTCCTTCCCCAAACTATGCAGGCAGAGGGTGGGTCTGGTGGGAGGAGGAGAGTGAGAACCTGAGTGGGGGTTTGTGCGGGCAGAGAGTGGGTCCATGAGGAGGAGAGCTGAGAGCTGAGAGTGAGAGATGGCTGTGTCAAAGAAGTCTTAAATCGACATTGCTCTTGCAACTGTAGTTAAAGGACCCTGCACAAACATCTTCAATTCACATCCACACCACTCCATATCCTGTGGAATGTTATTATTACTAGAGCAGTCATTTTCCTGTTACCTAAAATGGACCCATAGAGGAATGTGGCTCCAGACAAGGGAGACAGGGAGGATGTCCTGTGTGTGATCAGGGAGATGGGCATGACCCTAGCTGACCAGATGAAAGGGCTGGCCACGCAACCATCTCCCCCTTACTCTTGGACTCTTGCTCTCCTGGCTCTTAGCCAGCGCATGGCTCAACCTTCACATGCGATGGAACCCACAAGCAAAAAGTCTGAGATGTAGCTCAGACTTCTTTTCACTGAAACCACAAGATAAAGCCTGCTTTCAGATTACTGCTGTAAGCTGAGTGTGAGTAAAACTTTGTTCTTACTTTTAAAGAAGACTGTGTTGTGTTATTATTATGTTAAGAGGGAAATAAAGGGGAAACTTACCAGGGACAAGCCAGGCTGGATTGCTTAATTAAAGGATTCTAATGAATCATCAGCTTGCTTCCAATAAGTTGCAAAGGGAATGTGCTCTGCTGTTTACTCACTGGCGTGAGTATTAGTAAGGAGGGATAATATCAAAACAATATATCCTCTCCTACTTCCTTAACATTCTCGCATATCCATTGCTCGATTTTACTGTAACTCATTTTAGGCATCTCTGTTCCTAATCTTCTGATAATCATCTCTGAACTGCAGTATTTACAGTTCAGCTTCAATCATCTGCTTCCCTAAACGCATCCACTCAGTAACTTTATCCTGCTTTTTGTTTCATACAGAAGCCGCTTGAAAACTCTCCTTGGGGTCTGTAGTCTATAAGCTTGGAAAATTGCAAGTACAGTGGTACCTCGGGTTACAGAAGCTTCAGGTTACAGATGCTTCAGGTTACAGACTCCGCTAACCCAAAAATAGTACCTTGGGTTAAGAACTTTGCTTCAGGATGAGAACAGAAATTGTGCAGCAGTGGGGCACAGTGGCAGCAGGAGGCCCCATTAGCTAAAGTGGTGCTTCAGGTTAAGAACAGTTTCAGGTTAAGAACAGACCTCCAGAACAAATTAAGTTCTTAACCCGAGGTACCACTGTATCACCATCAGGCCAAAGAATGTGCCTTAACAAGGCATAAGCCCATCAGGACTTTGCTTCCTAAACATGCCTCTGTAGCAGCTGTCTCAAAAATGTTTATAGCTTTCAAAACAATAAGTGACTAGTTAGGAGCAACATAATATATTAAGGGTCCACAGCCAGGACCCACATCCTGTGCCTTCAGTACTGTACTTCCACAATGAGTAAACAACAGAGTCCTGTGGCAGTTTCAGGACTAACAGATTTATTATAGCATAAAGTTTTTGTGTGGAAACTACTTTCTCAAATGCATGTGGTTAGTTTTTAAGCAAGATTCCATTAAACACTTTTTTGTGTGTGTTTGCTTCTGCAAACACAACAACCCTGAAATTGGAGGGTGAGGGGAGCTGAATCATTACAATAAAAACATTTTTTAAAAAACAACTCCAAACGTAATTAACTGACTAACTAGGGTAGTTCCAACTATATACTCTTCCACCTCTATCCCAGGTATGTGACTAGGTAGTTTGTTGGCTCAAACAATGAGCCAGCCTAGGCTGTCTAAGCCTTCTACTGTTGTTGTTGTTGTTTAATCATTTAGTCGTGTCCGACTCTTCATAACCCCCATGGACCAGAGCATGCCAGGCACTCCTGTCTTCCACTGCCTCCCGCAGTTTGGTCAAACTCCTGTTAGGAGCTTTGAGAACACTGTCCAACCATCTCATCCTCTGTTGTCCCCTTCTCCTTGTGCCCTCAAGCTTTCCCAACATCAGGATCTTTTCCAAGCAGTCTTCTCTTCTCATGAGGTGGCCAGAGTATTGGAGCCTCAGCTTCACGATCTGTCCTTCCAGTGAGCACTCAGGGCTGATTTCCTTAAGAATGCATAGGTTTGGTCTTCTTGCAGTCCATGGGACTCCCAAGAGTCTCCTCCAGCACCATAATTCAAAAGCATCAATTCTTCGGCGATCAGCCTTCTTTATGGTCCAGCTCTCACTTCCATACATCAGTACTGGGAAAACAGTAGCTTTAACTATACAGACCTTTGTTGAGGATCACCGCCTTGTCATGGTGAAGGGGCTTGAATAACTAACAGAAGCTATGAGCTATGCCGTGCAGGGCCACCCAAGACGGACAGGTCATAGTGGAGAGTTCTGACTAAACGTGATCTACCTGGACCAGGAACCGGCAAGCCACTCTAGAATCCCAGCCAAGAAAACTCCATGGACAAAAGCCTTCTACTATTCCAACCCAATTCCTCTTCATCTTTCAGGTTCAGAGTTGCTCTTCCGTTCTGCTCTTCAGCCTCAGAACCTGCATAGGTGGGTATGAAATTCTTAACACAAGAACATAAGAAGAGCCCGCTGGATCAGGCCTATGACCCATCTAGTACAGCATCCCGTTCTCAGAGTGGCCGACCTGATGCCTGTGGGGAAATCTGCAAGCAGGACCTGAGCAGTTTCCAGCAATTCCGAAGCATTTCTGCCTTTGACAGTGGAGGCAGAGCACAGCCATTGTGGTAGCCTTACACTCCATGAATATGATCCTCTTTTAAAGCCATTGAAGCGGTGAACATCACTGTCTCCTGTGGAAGCGACTTACCATCTGCTTATCAATTGCACAGCATACTTCCCCCTAACCTTGGGGGGCACTTGGGCAGCTGCCAAAGGTTTCCTTGTGGCTGGGTGTGGAATCTGAATGCAGGAAGGGGGGATCACCTCACCAGATAAAATCCCAGCAATCAAATTATTTGGATCATTTCTGGAGAAAATATACTGGTTTCAGTTTATTGCCTCATCTGCCCCCGCGTTCCAATTCCCTGACAAAAGTGGGTGGAGGGAAGAAATACAGCACTGATACTTTTAGCAGGAAGCTTGGTTTAACGTGTGTGAGGGACATGACAATTCAGATTCAGTTCATTTTCAGTACCGTATGGTACCTGGTGATAAAAGTAGCATGTTCTTCCATCAAAACCCCTTTAGAAGAAGAAGAAGAGTTTGGATTTGATATCCCGCTTTATCACTACCCGAAGGAGTCTCAAAGTGGCTAACATTCTCCTTTCCCTTCCTCCCCCACAACAAACACTCTGTGAGGTGAGTGGGGCTGAGAGACTTCAGAGAAGTGTGACTAGCCCAAGGTCACCCAGCAGCTGCATGTGGAGGAGCAGAGACACGAACCCGGTTCCCCAGATTACGTATCTACCGCTCTTAACCACTACACCACACTGGCTCTTTACCCACAAAACCATATGGAACAAATATGGCTGGGTCTAGAGCTTCTCTTCCAAAGTTGCCCTTGGCTCACATGTGAATGATGTCATGAGTTAAAAGAGCGAAGGACAAATATTCAACGCCTGGCCTTATGTACACAAACAAAAGTTACAGCATGAGTGGAATATTTCTAGAGGCTTATCTCCTGTTTGTAGTGTTTACACATCTAACTGCTTTTACAACATGCTCAAGCAAACTTTGCAGTAATGCAAATAAGGAGGTGGGGATTCTTTCCTTTCCTTTCACCTATAGTGATCAGCCAAATGCCCAATACAAATGATAAATGATGAGGCGTGGAGGAGCTGTAGGCAAGGTAATCTCTCAGTGTCTGGTAATCATCATGGTGTAGTGGTCAGTGCTGGACTTGGACGAGGGAGACTCATGTTTACAAACCCATTCATCTATGAAACTGACCAGTCATGTATCTCAACCTAACCTATGCCAGACGACTGATATGGAGAGGAAAACACTGGGGTGGTGAAGAACCTTGTATTGACTGAGCCCTTGGGACAGGAATGTGGAACCTCAGGGCCAGGGACCAAATGTGGCCCTCCAAGCCTCTCTCTCTGGCCCTTGGGCCTCTCCCCAGCTACACCCCTCAGGGGCCCTGCTTTGCACTCTCCTTGAGTGCCAATGTGTCCTTGGACTTCTTGCCTGCCTGGATGGACAACAGAGAGGAATATGTGAGAGTATGTAGAAACCAGCCTACAGTGAAAACAAGATTTTTCCCTAAGCTTACTTTTCCCCTCTATTATTCTCTTATGATTTGGATTAAGTCCAAGCAACTGCAATCCTTGCAGGCAATTAAATTATATTATTTTTATGAGTAAACGTCCTAGGAGAAGAGGAAAGCAGCTATATCTCCCCTTGAGAGAGGGGGTGGAGGGACTTCCTAATGTAGAACTTTATTATCTTGCCCATCAAATAAGGCATATTGTTCCTTTTATTTTAGAAGAAGATACCAAACACTGAGTTCAATTAGAAAGGGAAGTAGCAGATGGTCTCCCAGTATCGGTGTTCCTTTTTTTTAAAACAAGGATTTAGAACCAGTCTAAAGGTGGATAATAGATTTACTCCAACTATGTTTAACTCCCGGAAGGCAAAAGCAGAAGTGTTGGAACCAGCTTAATCACCTTTTATTTCCCTGGTTTTCCGCCCACTTTTTATAATAGGAATTGTAGGTATGATGGGGATGGGGGATGGAGGGACAGGGAACTATATTGTGCATATCAGTTCTATGATAATGGTGTTCCACTGACTCCCATGAGAGGTGGTGGGTGGAATCTAATTTATTGGAAGCTTTTAAGCAGAAGTTGGATGGCCATCTGCCATGCATGATCTAGTTGTGATTCTACATTGGAGGGGGTTGGACTAAGTGACCCCCGCGATCCCTTCCAATTTTACAGTTCTATGAACTGGTTGATGCTTTGCCAGATCTGATCATTTTTAGTAAGAGAGGAGCATTTTGCCAAAATAGTGGGGGTGGATGTGTTATCCTACATTTTCCTTGGGGTGGGGCTCACCCCCCCCCCGCAAAGGCAATAGTATAGCTCCTTCTTACTTAACCTAAGGGTGATTTATCTTTTTGTTTCTGCTGCTGCAAGTGGCAGAAGCGGCAACTTGTATTAGTAGCCTAGCCACCATTTTGCAGTGTCCAAATTGCCTTAGCACTGTTGTTCTCTAGCTTTTTTTATTTAGAAAATGGTGGTTACCACTCATAAATAACAAACAAATAAACAAAAATGGAGTGGAGAAAATTCAGAGAAAATTCATCAAAGTGTCCTTTTTCTAAGGTAGTGAGAAAAAGAAAAATCCAGGAAACTTTATCAGAAAAAAATATGAGAAATCTTGGCTCAGCTATAGTTAGAAAAGATGCACTCATTATTTTTTTGGTAATGACTCCTTTCTTGCATTAGCAATAGTCATCCACCCAAATAATGCGAAGGACGCTTCTTCGGTCTTTTTATGTTTTGAGGGGATTCCACCTGTGACAACGACAACGGAGTCTGCCATTCACAACAGCGCGCGAATGAGCTGCTCCACGCTTTCAAAAGGTGCGCACGCCCCTCGGGTTTCTTTCAGGTCTGAGGCGACGCTGCCTGTGTTATGGATCACAAGTTGTTAGCGATGTGATCTTCTGTGTCTCTCTCACGCCGCGCCGGTCTGCTCTCCGCTCTGCACCTCCAGCCTTTCCTATCGCATCCCCGCCTCGTCTCCCCCTCCCACTGGCTGCAGGTCACCAACGCTTGTTGTCAAAACTGCGAGCAGTCCGTGCAGAAGGGCTGCTGGCTGCTGCCGCCTCTGATTACCTCCTCCGCCCCCCACCCCGCTTTCAGCCACATGCACACGCACAAAAACCGATGTCCCGCCTGCTCCCAACTCCTGCAAACATTTCCTAATAAGGCTCCCCAGGCATTAAACAGCCCACGTTTTCGAAAGGGGCAGCCTTGGGGAGTTAAAAGGGAGCCGTCCGGACCGTGTCGCTAAGAAACTGAGCAAGCGGGGACGGAGCGAGAGCGCGGGGGACTGAGATCCGGCGGGAGTTTCTAACTTGACTGGCGGCGGCAGCAACCAAAGCGATCGCGGTGAGTCTCTCCCTCCCTCTTCTCCATTGCCTCCGATGATGCGGGTCTCTTTCCCCCGATTCTGGTCACCTTAGGCTAAATGCAGGCGAAGAGAGATTTAACAATAATAATGGCTAGAGAGCGGTAGTGAATATGATGCGCCTCTTTCCACGTTGAAACGTGGGCTTTGGTTTTTTAGCCATCCTCCCTCAGTGCGTTTGCTTAGTAACTGAGGCTGCAGTCCTTCCTAACCAATCCTTTGTAATCCTAAAGCTGCAGATCTGCCGTGGGAGCAAATCCCGTTTACCACAGGGGGAGTTTCCTCCAGCCGCACCCCCTGTAAATCTGTATGAAACAGTGCTGCAATCCTTCTAAAGCCTTAGCCCTGCTTGGCTTACTGGGATTTACTTCCGAGGAGACGTGCTTTTGACTCGCGCTTGCGCGTTTAGTTTAACAGATCTCCCCCACCTTTGTGGACCTTTCAAAGAGGGGTGGGGTGGCGGGCAGAGAGTGTCCCGCGGCTGCAGCAGCAGCTCCCCATTCACAAAGATGTTTTCTCTCGCACCTAATTGAAAAATCCCAGCAGCCGTCTGGTGGTGGAGAATGAATGCAAAGGGGGCGGGGAGAGAGAGGCGGCTTGGGCTGGTGCAGCTATAGCTCTGGCCGGGCGTGCGAGGCACAAAGCCTCTTGGCGTTTGCTTTGGTTTGTCGCTGGCTTGGTGTTGGAAGTGACTGTCTGTGTGTGAAACGTGCAGGTTGCCTTGGAGCAGTGACTTCCTCTTAATTAATAATGGCGCGAGGGGGATTGCTAGAGCGTCTCTGTGGAGGGAGCGTTTGAAGGGAATCGCTTGGTTGGCGCGCAGCTTGGGAAGAAACTTCTCCGGTTTGTTACTTGAAGCCTCTGGCTTTTATTTATTTATTTCCATAATCTGTGCAGCGAAGGTCACCATTACTCCTCACCCTCTGCCTGAAATGTACAACTTATGCTGCTGTTCCCCTTTTCAACTTTCTGAAAGTATCACCCTGTAGGAGCCTCGATGTGTGGGAACAATCTGAACTGACTCATTCAATTGTTACTTCTGTCTCAAGTGAAATACTAAGCCAGAAGTCTGTTTGAAAACAACTCCTCACATGACCTGAAGGGCCACATTCTCCCACCCAACACATGCCCAGAACCAGGCACCATCCTTCCTCCCCCCTCTGTACAAATCCCATCAATTGTTCTGAATCATTTTGATGAACACCAGTTCCCCAACTTCTTTTTCCTGGTGTCTATGATCAACAGCAGCTGTTTTGCTTCCTGAATATCCCACTATAATAGGTTTTAAAGAGGATTCACTATCTGGGACTAATGTCTGATATATTTCAGTCACAAATTCACATAGCAAAGAATATTGACTTTTGTGCATGCTTGACTTGAACACATAAGGAATTATTCTGGGCAATTCTGGGCATACTTACATGGGGATAAGTCCCATTGAGCCCTGAATTGATGGTTTTATGGGATTTACCTAGGAAAAGACATGCATAGAATTATACTTGCAAGTGCAATAGCCTGCTCTTTGTGCCTTTGTAATATTGTATTGTGTGGAGTGTTGTTAGGTGTTCCGTAGGCTGCATTGGAACCAGCAGAAGTCCTGATAAAGTCCTGACGAGCACGAAGCTTTCTTTGGTGACAATAGTCACTTGTACAGAATACCAACACCTCTCTTTTTTTTGCTGCCCATGACCTCCGTTTTGTGCTGACACCCATGGCACAAAATATACGAGTACTTTCACCTTGTTTTTTTAATGAAAAAACAAGGTGCAAGTAATCATATATAGGTGTGTGTGTGTGTGTGTGTGTGTGTGTATATATATATATATATATGAACACTGCACAAACCTGCTTTACATAGCAAGGAATAAAAGGAACTAAGAACCAATGTCCTCTCAATCCAGTAACCTTGACTGAGTGATATGGAAGAGATGGGGAGCAAAAATACCACCTTCAGCTGAAGTCTGTAGAGATACAACATGTTTCCAGGGAGCAGGAGCTATGTGTACTTGTGCATGTAATGAGAGTGGAATGCTACGGCCCTTTCAAATAGTATACTTTTTCGACATGCAAGTGGTGCCTACTAAGCAAGGACTCCTGAAGCAAAACATAATGTGCGAGCCAGAAGTACATAGTAATCACTCTTGGGTGCACTGGCTGGGGAAAGTGCTGCATTACTTTCAGGAATTGCTGCTAGCTGTACTTGCCATTAACTGCAGTATATCTTACGTTTCTTCAAATGAGCATGTGCCTGAAGTTGGTGGTAGGTATGGAGAAAAAGTTCTTGGGTAATGGTCCACTTACATGCATTTTAAGGGGACTGCAGGGTCTCTGTGCAGGGTCTGTGTGTATCTCCCCGCCTTTGCCTCACCATTTTCATTTCTTGCAAGTTACTAGTGAATAATTTGCAGTAGGACTACTGTAGCCCTGGGATGCGGGTTGCGCTGTGGGTTAAACCACAGAGCCTAGGATTTGCCGATCAGAAGGTTGGCGGTTCAAATCCCTGTGACGGGGTGAGCTTCCGTTCCTTGGTTTCTGCTCCTGCCAACCCAGCAGTTCGAAAGCATGTTAAAGTTCAAGTAGATAAATAGGTACCGCTCCGTCGGGAAGGTAAACGGCGTTTCCGTGCACTGCTCTGGTTTGCCAGAAGCGGCTTAGTCATGCTGGCCACATGACCCGGAAGCTGTATGCCGGCTCCCTCAGCCGGTAAAGTGAGATGAGCGCCACAACCCCAGAGTCGGTTACGACTGGACCTAATGGTCAGGGGTCTCTTTACCTTACTGTAGCCCTACCATTAGGTAGAGTAAGACAGCCTCCTCCAGCAGTGTACGCAGCACCCCCTGCCACCAATTCCCCCTGAGATAACTTACAAAGCACCCTCTAAGTTTCTCTGTTGTGTGTGGGAGGTCTCTGTCCTTCTGCTGGTGTAAGACTTAGCTGCCAGTCTGGCTGGATTCTGTATGTGGAATGGCTTAAGTGCTGTCTTGTCTTTTGCTTCAGGCATGATTATGTCTTCTGTCTATTGCAAGGCATAGAGGGGCAGGCTGGATGGAGCTAGGGGAGGTCTGTTGAACCCTATCAGAATCCTCCGTGCACAGGAATAGTTTTCTGCCTGTTCAACTGTTATCGTGCATGGAATTATTTCTATGGGTGCAAAAGTGAAAATTTTATGTTGCAATACGTTCACGCTGCTTGTTCATGGATGATACCATGAGATGGATTTTAAATGGATCCTGCTCATATAATCATCCTGGCCGGAGGGAAGAGGAAGGGGAAGGAATATAATAGATAATACTGTATAACAGTATTTCGTCAGCTGTATACATCCAGGATGAACCCATATTCTATAGGTGCAAAATAGAATTGGCACTTCGGTCTTTTAAAAAAGTGATTTTCACTATCTGTATGACACTAAACACTGCCACTGCCTGTTGGAGGAATTCAGCATTGTGCTAAGGGGATCATTCCACCAGTGCAAGCTTTCTGGCTTGCAAGATGGAATGATTCCCCTTTCCTCCTCTAGTGTGCTGTTCCAGGGGTTCTCCCAGCCCCCGAGCCAGTTTTGGGGGTGGGGAGGAGAGAGGGAAAAGCCCCACTACACAGGTGGAAGTCATTGTGCAGGGCTTCCATTGAAGGGGCCTCATTAGTTGAATCCCACTCAGTATCTCTTGCCTCCTCACCAAAGTTGGCCCTACCATTAGGCAGAGTGAAGCAATTGCCCTAGGTAGAAGATGCTGTGGGGCAGCAGTAACACCCTTTCTAGCTGCTGCTGCTGCTGCTGCTGAGCTCCCAGACCATTCCCAACTGTTTAAGATCAGACCCATGTGTGCCACACAGGCTTCCATGTACCCCTTAAAATAGCCTCCTGCTCTCAGGTGCACTGGAGGTCACTGCCCTGTTGCCAGTGCTGAAGTCCAGTCAGCTTCTGCACATGGAAGTAAAGGCAATCGACTTTGCCCTTTGTCTCAGGCAGCAAAACGGCTTGGGTCAGTGCTGGTTCTCATCTTTCTTTCTCATTGTACTCGGCATACGGCTGTTGAGAAACCTGTGAACACCCAGATGTGTAGCAGTTCACTTAAACTGACTGAAACAAGCGCTGATCCTCGATTCCTCACTCGCTAGGATGATGCACAAGAAGCTATGCTGTAGAGTACCTGCTATTGACTTTTTGGGTAGACTCGCAGCATTTCTCAACCTTGGGTCCCCAAACGTTGTTGAACTACAACTCCCATAATCCCTAGCTAGCAAGGCCAGAGCTCAGGGATGATGGGAGTTGTAGTCCAACAACATCTGGGGACCCAAGGTTGAGAAACACTGGAGAGCCTTTAATAATTTTACTCAGGTTCTCTTTATTTCTTCTGCCACAGGACAACTCTTCTTTGGTTGATGGTTTCATTCTACAGTCATACCTCGGGTTGAATACGCTTCAGGTTGAGCGCTTTTGCGTTGTGCTCCGCGGTGAACTGGAAGTAACGGAGCACGTTACTTCTGGGTTTTGCCGCTTGCACGTGCACAGACGGTCAGAATGACGTCACGCGCATGTGCAGAAGTGGCGAATCACGACCTGCGCATGTGCAGTCTCGGATCCCGTTCGCATCCTGAGGTACCACTGTATAGTTTCAGAGACACTAAACATAAATATTTTAAACAAGGTTGCTTCTGTGCTATTTACAGCAGTTCAACCTACCGAAATCAGTAGATAAAACAACAGAGTCTTAACAGATTTAGTTTGCTCTTTGATGACCCGCTTTTTGAACATACATTCAGATCAGTTTGCAGGGTTGTTATACAACAGTCATTGTTTATTGAGCCTTTATTCTGATTTCTGTGTGTGGCT